GGCTGACAGGCGAGCAACTTGGAAGATATTTTGTCCTGTGGAACCACAGTCATCAAGGCAACTATGAGCTGCCGCCAAAGCGCTTGTATACCTCTATCGAGTCAGTAAAGGTTTACCAAGCTTCGATGCTTGAACGCCCGCTTTTCATCGTCTTAGACTTGCTCGCTCAGCCCTCGAACGAAAATTCTCGAGTTGTCCAACGGTGGCTTCAAGACCTGCCGGCTATGCACAAGTAAGTAGGATCTTTGCCCTCTAGCCTGCCAAGGCATAATTTGCCCCGAAGGGATTATTCCTACATCTTCGAAGATGTTTCATCGTCATATAAATTGCTCACAAACCACAGGGTCTTTCGTATAATAGTCTCGCGGTTGGATCGTCTCTTCCAGGGGTCAAATCGTGGTGAACGGGAAAGCGACGATCAGGTTTTGTCGCCAGATGACTACAAGGAATGCGACTATCTGCTGCGGACCATCTCCAATCTCATATCTACACTTGATCATAATGGCTGGGTCACTCTTCTCACTCAGACGCTATCTCAAGTTGACAAGCGTAAGGATGTCCATGCATCTGAAGGTATGTTGGGACTGGTCCTACTGAAAACATACTTGACTAACAATTGCACAGACAGCGCCGAGCTTCAGAGCCTTCATACCATCATCTACCAAGTCAGCCTAAAATTGATCAGCGAGCAGACAGCCACAGGTACTCATGACCTGGAGACAGTTAGACTGCAACAAACATCATTACTAGTCATGCGACAGCTCCTTCTTGGTCCAGGAGCTGAAGAGGTGATTGAATCTGGAATTGACTCGTTCCTGGTTGATAGGCTCTCTCGCGCCCTGGATTATGGTGCGAATGATTCAATCCAAGGAGACCTAATAGATACCCTTCTAGCGGCGTTGAAGGTCCGGTTTGCGCAAGCCTATCTGCCACCGCCCCCTCCACGGCCGAAGCACCACCGGGCAAGCTCTCGTGAGCGCTTGACAAGTCCCTCTATCTTGTCCTTCACAAGCGACAAACCAGAGAAGGTACCTGCGCTGTCTGCCCTCCCTCAGCCACCTCAACAACTTCTCGAATGCCTTCTCAAAGGCATTGGTTCTAAGAGTTCAAGGGGGATTGTGGACAAGTGGACTGTCCTCCTTTGCGAAGTACTCCCACTGTACGCGGGGTCAATCTTTCAAATACTACTCATGCTTGTCGAATCGCTCTGTAAAGAGATCCAACTTTGCTATGCGAGTTTGCAACTCGCATTCAAGCGTACAGAAGGATGGCCTGATGATCGATCCGAGTACGCCACCATTGCTCTTCTCAGCGCTCTCGAGACTTGCATTGCTACCGCCCACGAGCGGTTGCTAGTAGAGGAGGCCTATACTCCTGCTGTCAAGAGTCCTGACCAGAATCATGGATTCTTTGGCAACATGGTTTCAGGGGTATTCTCATCCGAATCGAACCACACGCGTTCGGCCGCAGCGAACAATCGGCTTACTGTCCTACTCTGCTTCCAAGATGCCGTGAGGCTCTGCTTTACCATATGGTCGTGGGGTGCCGTAGAGCGAAGTACGCTGCCGCAAGACGCTGAATCGATAGCTTCATTCCAGTACACGTCTCTGCGTATGAGGAACAGATCGCGTCGCATTCTCGAGCATTTGTTTAACGCAGAGGCACTCGAATGTCTAGAGACAGCTGTGGAGATGTGGACAAAATCTGACAGCGAGACCTCGCCTTTGATTATGAGCCTGCTTCACACTCTGGACGGATCTAGACCGAAGATCGCTATCCCGGCTGTGTTCAATTCTATTTATACAAGAACCAATCCGGCGGCATTGGAGCCGAGCCGCAAATCGACACTGACTGCAAGCCTGACCGAGTCTGAATTGGCGGGCTTCCTGGTGGCATATGCGAGGTCGCTGGATGACGATGCGCTTAACGAGATCTGGGCCGATTGCACGACATTCCTTCGCGATGTGCTCAGCAACCCATTCCCACACCGTCAGATCCTTCCACGACTGGTTGAATTTGCAGCGATCCTTGGAGCGAAACTGGAGAACACCAGCTTTGGGGAAGATCGACGGATGAGGAAAGAACTCGGGGTACGCGATAATCAAGGACAATCAAACTCATTGAGACCTACTGACATATGATAGGACGTCTTGCTTCGCCTTCTCACCGCAATCTGGACGAGCAAGCCGATGGGTATTGCTCAAGAGTCTTCCCTTAGCCGCGGCTCTATCGACTATGACAGTTCGCCCTCACCGAACATTGGGCCCGACGATATGCTTAGCATCCTTGCGGCATCCATGCCTGCATTCACAATCACACTCGGAGATTCCGACCGAATCACTTCCGCAGTAACCGGTATCTCAACGAATGTGATCGGACCTCTCTTTCGCTCGCGACTCTTCCCGAACAACCTCAACCGTAATTTCATGACCCTGTTTCAGCACATAGCTAAAGTACCATCTGCTGCTAAAGTATGGAAGAAGGATATAGCCGACGCATTTAACGATACTAGATTCTTCGGGATGCAGATGGACTTGGTTCGGGAGGGATGGCTGAGTCTACTGCGACAGTGGGTGCTCGCAGATAAAGATCGCTTTTCTGAGATGCTGTCTCGCCTCCCGCCACCAAGTACAGCAGGTATTATGTTCGGTGTTGGAGCCTCTGCTGCCCGCCTTGAAGCTGACCGCAAAGCGCAACTAAACCTCCGCCGCATCAGCCTCCTCGTTTTGTCTGCTAGCAATGATTACTATATTGGAGAGCTACCCGCCCTTTTGCAGAAGTTGGAAGACCTCCTTGGGGCGACTAGTACTTCCTCTCCATCTTCAACCACTCGGGCTGAGATCTTTATGGTTCTACGTGCTCTCGCACTCAAGAGCTCTGCGACGGCGTTGTCCACATTCTGGCCGCTCATCAATGCTGAACTCCAAGAGGCTATATCAGCCGTACCTCTGGGCCAGCAACAAGATGTATACAACTCATATGCCTTGCTGCAGGCATGCAAACTGTTAGACACGCTACTTGTACTTGCACCAGACGACTTCCAACTTTTGGAGTGGCTTTATGTTACCGACACCATAGACGCCATCTACCCTCCGGAAGGCTTCGAGCCGATGGCCCTCGCGGATGAGGTTTCGCAGAGCTTGGGTATGCGTGGGCTTACATCGAATGATGGGGCTGGAGAAACGACCAGCCTCAGCCAAGGAGCGAGACAACCGAGCCTTACTGCGGACTGGATCCGTGAGACAGCAAAGGATGAGATTGTCGATCGGGTGCTTCGGCCATTTTTCGACCAGCTCAGCATTCATGCATTTGAAAGTACCTACAGCATGGGCCAACCACAGTTGAATTCGTGTGTCAATGATCTGTTGGCGGATATCTTTAATGAAAGCACCATGGCCAACTAGGATTCCTGAATTGTTCGCGTGCTGCCTGTGTATCATGTTATTTATTTTTGTTTGTCGATTACAATGCGAACTAGCGTGACTGGTAATGTGCACGTACAGCGCGCATGCCTGTGGTGAGGGATAGAAGCGGCATTTCCAGCATCAAGTTCCAGGCGTCAGGGCGTCGGCGGCATCGATCCGCATGTTCCGTATGCCCCACGGATTAAAGTAGCATTAGTGAATAGATGAGGTGTGGCTTGGGTTCCATGATGGAACATTCTGGAGAAGCGGAAAAGATAATACGCAGAAATTCGCAAACCGCAACTTGGAAATCGGCAGTTGAGTTGGGTGGGCACTAAATGCTATAGAGTAATTGGAGGTGTCTATTCTTGGGCCCGGTTAGTACTTCGTACACTTCGTAACACCCTCGGCCCAACTGGCTGGCCAACAACGTCACTCTCTCCACCCAAGCTTCTTCCTCCGCATCCACCCACACCCCCCCAAAACATCTACATCCACTTCTACTTATACCACGTAAGACCTCGGATAGTCACTTTGTAGTTGTGACCAGCTCTGCGATGCTTCTGACTGACTTATTTTCAAGATTCTCCTCAAATTCAGGACCATGAGTGCAACACGAAGAGTGTTATCGCCTGCATGGCGCGCCGTCGCAACCAAGCCGGTCTTCATTCCGACGCGGAGCTTCGCGGCCTCACCCTTAATGAAGGAGGCAGCGACTGCGCTGCCTGCTAAGAAGCCCGTGGGCGCGTTCCGTGGAGGGTACTGCATTCATCCCATATCAATGTCACCTTCTTAGTGACCAACTTCCGTCTTTCGGCTGGACTGACAAGTCTCTTGATCACAGAATCTTCGGCTTCCTCTCCGGCTCGGTTGCCGCCGGCGTTGTCGTCTATTACTACATATTGGCTGAGTACAGAATCTCCAACGAGATGCTAACCGAAGATATCTACGTACGTTTCTCGCTGCGATTGCCTTGTGACTTTCCTTTTTGCTGATGTGGCTCCCAGGCTCTCCAAACAGCTACCCAGAAGCTGCAGACTTATATCGGCGAGCTAGAAACCAAGGTCGACCAACTGAAGAAAAAATAACCTAGCATTGCATTTTCCTGTCGTCTATTTCTTCTCTTCAGTTCTCAAAGGTCTGTTTTCTTTCAACATGCTTCTGCAGGAGTTCCTCGCCACGGGTCTTAGCATATCATTTTTGGTCCTTTTTTTTTTATCTGAAATGCAGTTTCTACGGGGGATGAGCATTGTAAAAACCCAGTCAATAAAAGACTGTATTGCATTGTGAAGGTGTATGCCAGATCTACGCATGCGAGTAGGTTCTACATCAGAAGGGATGTACAATGTGAAATGAAGTCGCTTCCAAAGACAGGCCAATGTTCTCCGTACTTTACTGTACCAGACTCTCAGCGACGACGCGTTGGACTTGGGGGGGCGAGACAGACTGTCGGCGTCATCGGATAGACCTGCAGTGCAAACCCATCAAACAAGAGCTCTCACCGCCTTTTCCTGCCAGTCCTCATTTTGTATTCTCGCTCTTATCGCCGCGATTTCTCCCCGATTATCGTGCATGCGCCATCGCAGAAACTCAACAACCCACCACACGAGGCACGATGTATCGCGTTGAACTTCTTCCCGGGTCGACAACCCACGTCACTCCGGGCTGGACCTACGTCCCGGATCGAGGCTTCGACCCCGCCAAAGCAGCCATCACGCCCACCATCGGTCGCAAACGCGGCATCCGGGACCCAGGCCGGACAGATCTCTCTTCCCGACAGACCAACGCGATCATCCGACATCTGGCCGAACTTGACCGCGAGAACCATCGCGATGTACAGATCCAGATACCCGTGAGACAGAAAGAGCCTGCTGCCCCACGAGGTACGTCTCCCCTTCCTCCCTTGTTGAACACCACAGCGGAGCAGTTCGCTGTGCGCTGCACCGCAACAGCGAGACTCAGACATCTCGTTCACAATCCGCAAAGCAAAACCCCCCTCTCAGACCACAGTCCTGAAGAACTAAAAACTTACTCAAACCATGATCAGGAACCCGCACGAAAGTAACCTCCAACGTCCGCCGCATCCTCCAATCCCAAAAGACCTTCCGCAACTACCTCGACGACGAAGAAGCCGCTCAAGCCAACACCGCCGCCGCCACGCCAGGAAACACCAGCGCAACAAACCCCTCCTCCTCCTCAGCAGCAGCAGCAGCGGCGGCGGCGGCCGGTGGCGGTAGTGCGACAGGACACAGAGGCTCGATCCACCGAATCACGAAACCCAGCACAGCAGCCACGACCCCGTCCTCCCTCCGCCGCAGCTCCACCCCGGTCTCCTCTCGAGGCGACCACCACCACCGCGGCACGAAGAAACAACCCTCCATACCCCCTTCCCAACCACAACCGCAACCACAACCCCCCTCCTCCCACGCCTCAACCCACCCAGCAACAACCCCCGTCCCCGTCCCCGTCCCCGATACCACCACCGGCTCCCCGGCTACCACAACCGACCAAGACCACGACCACCCCACCCCGAAGCCGGAAGAAAAAGCCCCCGAAGAACCAAACACCACAACCCTCATCCGCTCCGAACACGACTCCAACCCGCTTCTCCGCTCGTACCTCCCCGCCGCTCCCTCCGAGCGCATCATGCAGGCCCTGCTGGCCGAGCCGCCGCTGACGTACCACGCGGCCCGCGCGGGCTCGCCGATCGCGCCCCGCCGCTCGCAGCGGCACTTCTGCTGCATGTGCGGGTACTGGGGCAAGATCCGGTGCAAGAATTGCCACGCCCGGACGTGCGGGCTGGCGTGTTATAAGGTGCATGAGGATTCGAGGTGTGGGGCTTTCTTTTGATCTTTTGGGGGGTGACTCCACCTCATGGAAGGAGTCCAAATGTGGGAAGTGTGAAGGGGGTTGTTGGCGGAGGGTGGGTGCATTTTGGGTTCTGGGGGCGTTTTTTTGAAACCGGTCCACTGGACATTATTACTATGCCTGTGTTACAATATACCATGCTGGTTCTTTTTTTTATATGTGTGTTTGTACACTACCACCCAAGTCGAGATATAATGAAACATGAGAACAACGAGAAAGCCCGGTCTGGAATTGGGGGTTTACTCGATCGAAGTCGGAGACATGTGGGTAATGTACTACATAAGATAGATAGAGGCAATAACCAAACAGCAGCGGCGGGGATCAACATTTCAGGTTGATGCCCGCGCGGGCTTCCTCCTCCCGAATCTCGAACATCACCTGGATCCCGACGAATAGCGCACCGCACGCCGTGATGATATACACAATGCCGGCCCAGGAGCCCAAGATCGACGCCACCAGGCCCTTGAGCCCGTCGATCCCCAGAGCAAAGCCGACGAGGTTGGCGACCATCATCATCAGCACGTTGGCCACGGCCCCGACGCCGGTGATCACGCGGTAGGCGGTGGGCCGCGAGCGCCAGCGACTGGCGGGGAAGAGCAGGCCGCCGATGACCTCGGGCAGCACGAACAACGTGATGAGCCAGCCCCACATGAGCAGGCGCAGGTTGATGTCGTGCCACAGCGCGACGAAGGTGAACACGATGAGGGTGTTGAAGATCTTGCGGCCCTTGGCGAGCACCCCGGACGAGGAGGAGTCGCGGCTGCTGCCACGGGCGCCGCTGCCACCGCCCAGCGGGACGTAGAGGTAGCGGACGATCCACCGGTTGAAAGAGCGGTGCCAGGCGCGCCAGAACGCCAGCGCGGAGTAATTGTTGGAGACGCAGCGGATCATGTTCTCCGGCGGGTCGATACCGTCCACCAGGGCCCAGAAGCGGAAGAAGCGCCATGGGATCAGGAGCTTGAGCCAGATGATGTGCAGGTTGAAGTAGGCGAGCATGCTGAGTTGGCCGGCTGTGTACAGCGACCAGTCGGGCGAGGCTTTGGAGATAGCGACAGCGTAGATATAGTGGAGGATCAGCTCCATCGCGAGTAAGGTGAGGAAGAAGCGGATTCCATAGAGGGTTGTTCTTGCGGTAGTGAGTGATGGCGGGGCGTATCTTTGTTGGGAGATGTAGTCATTGAAGGTCAGGATGGGTCCTGTAAGGTAGAGAGGTGCGTAAAGCACGTAGGCGACATAGTAACGACCGTTGAATGCGGACAGCTCAGCCGGGATACTGACCCTGTCCCGCTCTGACAGTGCTGCTGGATCGAGTTGCTTCTTCTTATGGCGGTCAGAAGGAGTTCTTCATACAGGGAGACATGGACTTACTTCAATGGGGCTCGCGGCGGGGTAGTCAAGGCTCCAGTAGTAGTCCATGTTGAAGCTGATCAGACGGAGCACTGTGATGTTGAACAGAATCTCCCAACGGGGGATGATACCCCCAAAACCATCAAAAGAACGAGCCCAAAGCACCAGGGCGGGCACTTCCTTGGTAGCATCGAAAGCAGGTGTCAGGAAGGTAGCTAAGCGCTCGAGCGGATAGCCGGCACAGAGCTCATTGGCGAACAGGGTTGCAATGTTGAACGTCCAGGTTGCTGCGGGAATGTATCTTCTAGGCATCGATTTGGCGATTCGGTAGTTGATGTAAAGGATCGTGAGAACCTTGAAAGCGGAAACGCCGTGGAGCACGACGATGAAGACAAAGGCGAAGTAATAATCAAAACTGATTCGTTGCGTAAGGCGCGCATCTCCAGCTGCAACGGCCGGGGAGGCTTTTGCAGAGCCCAGGCCTGGGCTGGCTGGACTGACATATCGATTGTAGGCTCGGCGAAGGAGTGGATGGCCGACTAACAGGATGAGGAGGTAAGGAACGTTCTCTCGGAAACCGGAGTACTGGGCATCGGAGTTGTCCTAAGCATCCAGGCAATGTTAGCTCCATACGAAAATGATCGAAACGACAGTAACGTACAACTTTGCGACCGGGTATCCAACCGTCCTCGAGTAAGTGAGAGTATGTGGCATAAGTGGGATGACTCTCTGCGGGAACAATCAGCATCTGGCCCTCACACGTGCACAAGAGGAGATAGACCTTGTGATACCCCAATGACAGTCGTGAACATCAATGGCACCGCGATCAAGAAAATGATATAGTAGATGTAGAATTCGAAGGTGTTCCATCTCGAAGGCGAGGCATTGCGGGCAATGGCAGCAGAACGGGGATCTTTGGTAGAGGCAGGTCGCGCGTCAGCCGCGGCGACTTTGGCGGGAGTGGTCGCAGAAGCCGTGAAACGAGTGTCGAGGGTGTCGAGGGAGTATAATCGCCGAAACCAGGCGAGCAGTGAGAGAATCATTCTGGCACCAGCATCTCGTGAGGAGTAACGAACCCCTCGGAAAGCGGACGGAATGAGTGGGTAGATGGGTTAGGTAGAGAAAGGTGGTGGACACAGTGCGGAGAGTTAAGCAGGAGGAACCGGAACTCTGGGGGACTCGGGATCGATCGCCCGGGTCCATTTTTGGTTCAGGGGCGGAGCGGAGCGTGGCTGACTGCTGCAACTGATCCGCCGGTTATCATATCCTGAGCCATGATGAATTGTGTATAAAAGCTGGTGCGACTGTATGGAAACCTATTTCTTAAATTCAGTCAGACTGTATAACACCTTAGCCTGATACCCTTCGATAAACATGTAAAGCCTACGTCAATGCAATGAATAGAATGTATTTCTTGAAGGTGCAGAGCATAAAACATTAATGCTGACTGGCTGCTTGCTCCCCCGCCGCAACAGGACCTTTCCAGTCCAGGAAAGCGGTATCAAGGCGGGCCCGCGGCGACATCCGTGGCTGACTAACCACATCGGCGACGCATGATGAAGCTAAGGTACAGACAAGATATAGATTGAAAGACAGACATACAACAACAAGTATTCCTGATTATATTATCTCACACTACATGCTTGGATGAGAATTGTACTCATCTATCAATATGTCATCGCAACGAGTATGTTCCCCCCCCCCCCCCAATCCACTTTCTCGAAAGGGATCGGACCTCTTCTAACCGCACTACGTCATCCAAACTTCATATCTAATCTGCAATCACTGACATGGATAGATCGCATTCAAAGTATCTGGAACAGTGCAAGGTATGCCTCTATACGGCACACGAAATGCCTGCTCTCCTATCACAAACTACCACATGATATGATCGAGCATAAGCTAAAATTCGCGGATTATGCAGGAGTGGGGTTTAGGTACGCCATCACTTCAACTATTAGACCTGGTCCCCCGCACAGTTGAACCGCTAGCTAACCAAACCTCTCTGCGCTTACAGAGACTTCACGCAGAAGCGTGCCACCGAGTACGGCTTGAGGGGCTGGGTGAAGAACACGCACTGCGGAAGGGTTCGTACTCCCGGGCATATCCTCCCCTAGGATTGCCTTGATGCCATACTCGTTTGGCCTGCAATATTGCTAACGCTGAGCACTTGTAGGTCGAAGGGGAAGCTCAAGGACCCGCGGAATCAGTGCAGAAGCTGCTCAAGGACCTCAACAATGGACCCCGTCTAGCACATGTTGTCAAATTGGAGCAGAAGGAAATTGGCGTGAAAGACGGCGAAGAGAAATTCTCATGCTATAAGACGTCGGAGTCGGGGTTTGCGAACATTGAGTGAGCCGGGCTGTGTATAGGGCACGTGCATGCCATGGTAGTCGCGTGTCTGGGCTTGCGTGTACGTGTAGAAGGAGAAACGCACGAGATCGTCATAAAGGAGAAAGCAACAATGCTGAGTGCTGGGATAAAAATAACATAAAATGTGACCGACTTTGTAAAAGCGTTGTATTGCATCAGGTGCCCTATTCGTAAGGGCGCCTTTTTCGATTGGTCTTGACTTGAAGTATAGAGACCACGGAAAAGCGAAGCTACGTAGCACTCCAACAAAAATTTGGAACAACAAATTCTCACCCCAATCCGAAGCAGACAAAAGGATCATGACGTTGCAGCCCTGGACACGAAGATAAGGTTATTGCCAACAAGTCCCCCGACTCAACCCCGAGTTATGTTCGGTATGCCTGACTCACCCAGACTCAGACACGGTATCCCGGCTTCACCCGAGAATGCTGAGCCATCAACCCTCCAAGATTCATCCCCCTATGTCAGCGTCAGCGCAATACGAAAGCATCCCTGCGCAAATCCTTTCAGTCCGACTCTGTTCAAACAAGATGCTAAATTGGTCTCTGGATACACAATATTGACGTGGATCAAGTTGTAGTCAGGTTGTTCTCTATGTGTAGTAGAAGCCGGTTACTCAACAAACCAATCAGTGGCGAAGAACCTGCACATACTAACAAACCGAACAGTAGTACATGAGCGATCGACTAGGCTACTGTACCAAACCAACGGGATATCCTGGGGTTTCACCGGAGCGACAGATAGGATCGCCGATCCTGGGCCGCCAGATCCCATCAAATGCCGTTCAAAAACCCAACCAAGAAATCCCCAAACCCCCTCGGCCATATCCCAGCGCCGAATTGAATTCGCCTTCCGGTGGACGCCGAATTCGTCGAATCCCGCCGCGCCCTTTCACCCTCCCGAGATTTCTCATTTCAGGTCATCTGGGGGGCCCGATGCCTGTCTTTTCTCACCGGTCATGAAAGTTGCCCCGTCATGAGTACTGTACCTATTCTTGTGGGCGTATACAAGATTGGTTTTGGCTAACAAAGAAGGACTTTCTACGTACCTTCCTAGTGTGAAGGAAAGAGGGGGGTGGCCTGCGTGGTGGCTTTATACTGTGCAGGGAGCGATGGTTAACTACTTCTCGATTCATTGTTTGTACTTCCTTTCTCCTCCCTCCTTAGAGATCATAGTTTGACAGGGTACGGAGTAGTCAGACGGGCAATGCAGGGATGGATCGTCTGTAATGAGTAAGATTCTAGACCCCTACGAACTCTTCCACCATTTCATGGTTTTTACGGACAGTACATTCACCAGCGGACCCCACCTCTAGTTCTTCTGGTGCAGGGCAAAAGCTGCCAGTGCCACTGACCTGACCGGGATGTGTACGCGCTAGTGATTAGAGTATACCATACCCAAGTGAGTCTATTTCTATTGAGACATTGATTCTAAACAATCCACACGCAGAATAAAAATACGCTTTGCAGAGTACATAGTAATAAAGACCGCGGAAACCTTGCAGAGATGATATTTCGTAGGCTTCAACGAGAAGTGGCCTGATCCAGAGACAAGTATACTCAAGTATCGTTCGTATAACCAGCAACAGGGAATGATTCCTGTAGGATGCGAAGAACATCCACTGCACCTAGCATGGCATACCTTTTTTGAGGCTCTCAGATGAGATCATATCGCATAACTTACCTACTGCAACAGCATAGTCCAACCCGACCCAGTGGCTGAGCAAGTTTGAGAGCATTACTAAACTGCGCAAAGGATGTGGTTCTTTTTTTTCTTTGCTTTGCCCGCGTGACTTTTCGCAGGGCGGCCCCTCCGTCGCCGTCCCGCTGCGTACAATTCCGGGGCGCCACTCCGATTTCTGCCGAGAACAGATTCGGTCAGTCCCCCAGGTAAGGTACTGGACCAGAACCGCCGGGTTGGGGGGAGTCATACTTGGTACTCAGTAGGTTCAGGTACAAGTGAATTTTTCTTTCTGTGTAATTTGAGTTTTTCGAGATGTTATATAAATAGGTACCGGTCAAGGGGGGTGGTGGCATTCTCAGTACATATTCAAATCAGAATCACTTTGATCTACAGACTTCTCTATCACACACTTAAAAGCCCTCACTCGAAGGCTTTCTCATACAGAAAATAGAACAACACTCCACACATCAACGCTATTTACAAATCACTGATCGCATACGACGATGAATTCCATGGCAGCCACGGCGCCCCTTAGGGTGGCCATCCCGAAGGCAAGCCTTCGCTTCACCATGCGAAGCAACCCGAGTGTCATCATCATGACCGGCCTCCGGTGTGGCAGCTCGACCCTGGGCAACAACTACTACCAGCACACGTACAACAAGCGGTTCATCACGACGACACAGAAGCAGGATAAGATCAAGGAGTTTTTCCCGCCACCGAAGGCTCCCCATGTCAAAGAAGTGGAGACCGCCTGGGTCCATCCAGTGTACGTGCCGTTCGATCGTTCATCTTACGAATTGGGGCTAGGATGCTGACTTTTGCCACAGTTACTCGGAAGAGCAGATGAACCAAGTCACGGTTGCGCATCGCGACGCGAAAGATTGGGCCGATTGGATCGCACTCGGTACCGTGCGGGTGCTGCGATGGGGCATGGACTTCGTGACGGGCTACCGCCACCCTCCCGCGGGCAAGGAACACGAGGCCAGATTCCAGATGACCGAGCAAGCGTGGTTGAGACGGTTTGTCTTCCTGGAAAGTGTGGCTGGTGTGCCCGGTATGGTGGGCGGCATGTTACGACACCTGCGAAGCCTGCGGCGCATGAAGAGAGACAATGGATGGTAGGTTCTCCGCCGTTGCTCCCCGCCTGCAAACCATAGACGTATCTAGAGCACCAACTAACCACTCTTCTGCAATAGGATCGAAACCCTGTTGGAGGAAGCATACAACGAGCGGATGCATCTCCTGACCTTCCTCAAGCTCGCGGAACCGGGCTGGTTCATGCGACTCATGGTGCTCGGCGCCCAGGGAGTCTTCTTCAACGGCTTCTTCCTGTCCTACCTCATGTCGCCGCGCATCTGCCACCGATTCGTGGGGTATCTCGAGGAGGAGGCCGTGATCACGTACACCCGCGCGATCCAAGACATCGAGCACGGCAAGCTGCCCCACTGGGAGAAATTGGAGGCGCCCGAGATCGCGGTGCAGTACTGGAAGATGCCGGAAGGACAGCGGACGATGCGGGACCTGTTGCTCTATGTGCGCGCCGACGAGGCCAAGCACCGGGAGGTGAACCACACCCTAGGCAACCTCGACCACGCGACAGACCCGAACCCGTACGCGGCCAAGTACAAGGATCCATCCAAGCCCCATCCGAACAAGGGCATTGACAATCTCAAGGCCACTGGTTGGGAGCGGGAGGAAGTGATCTAAAAGGAACATCTGGTGTCACGCCGGCTGGACCGGGGCAGTTGTCACCACGGGCTAACTAATCATTCCCTGGAGGAATTTTGTTTCATGTATAGATGGGTGGACGGTGCTGGTTGCTCTCTGCCGTGGGGGGGGGGGTTGGTTTTCGATAAGCAGCGGGCCAATGGGCACTGTACTATTATGTTGTAAATAATGGCATCTCTCCTCAAATTTCAATAGACGAATTGACTGTGAATCATGTTGCTTCTGACCGAACGGGTTCAACCGAGGCTTGTGCGTGGAAGTGACGTGCAGGGTGCAGCTGAGCAGAGAAGAATCGACTGAGTAAGAGTAGAGTAAGCCGTAAGGGGGTTCGCGTCAAAAGGACTCAAAAGTCTGGATGCGGGGCTTTTCAGGCACGGGGGACGCTAGACCTTAAAGGGCAAAGTGGCAGTCACTCAACCACAGAACCAATTCAACAGGAGACAGAGAGGCTTGAATCCAGTGCAATATCCACACGGCGCATGTTCGATGAGCATCAGCCATCAATCATGGGGTAGTAGCCTTGGAAGGCACCAGCCATTCCGGCGTTCCGGTTCTAAATGACCTCAGGGGCTCGCTTGTCCACACGGTTGCCCGAAAAGACGGATGCACAAGAAAGAAATGACACTTCTATTAATACCGGTGGTGCATTATCAATGCAGACGTGTGTGATAATCACCCTGGGCTATCGACCCGCTTCCCCTTTTAGTGGGAAAAAAACGCCCCCCCTTTCGAACTTCCCAAATTCAATCTTGCCCCGATGATCGGTTGACCATCTCTAATTAATCACTCAACTCTCGCGTCTCAAACCTACGCCTTGTCCCTATTCTCGATCCTTTCGCGTCATTTCCATAATTCCCCATTACCCGACGTACACCTGTCCTTTGCTCTCTAGTGTGAGAGGTATAACTCGCCTCATACCGGATCTGTGTCCTCTCGAACGCGCCGCCGTGCCCCCAATACGATCTATCTTTTGCAGACCTGCGACCGTCACCAGTGAACGAGCCAACAAGGATAACGTGCGCAGCCATGGATGACTCTATCGACCCCGAATCCATCAACCCCCCTGCCCGCGCCGGTTCTCCCTCTCCATCGGTTCCAGCAACGCCGGCCATCTCTTCCTGTCCATCGCCAGACCGGACCTTTTCGTCTCTCTCCTCGCTCTCGGCCTCGTCTGCTACCTCTGCCGATGCCAGGTCATCGATTTCGACCGCCTCCAAGCGAAGGGGCTACATCCGGACCCAGGGAGCCGAATTCGCAGATTCAGCCAAGAACCGAGAGAGTGTGATGAGCCTGGGTAGCATCGCGCATCTGCAATACTACTTTGCGCGGACAGGCTTGCTGGATGGGAAGGGCGGCCAGGCCCGTGCATACAAGAAAAAGAAGAAGGATCCAGAAGAGCTTCCCAGGCTGCTGCTGACCCCCAATGCCCGGTTCATCGAGGAGTTGACGGTGAGCCCTACGGAGGAAGAAAGCATCGATCCCCGCGATTCCGGCTTTGAGGACGATGGGTCCGAGATGGATGAGGACGTCGAGGTGATGCTTCCACCCACCGTGAGCACGTACAGTATCAAGACGCACCACATCCCGTCCCCACCGAAACTAAAGGCGCTGCGGAAAGACCTGATGGAGGCGATGGAGAAGGCCGACCGCGCGATCAATTCCCTCGACACCCAGAAGGATCCGCCAGCGGAAATGATTCCGCCCCGCATCAGTTTCTCATCCAACGAACCCGGCGACAGCGAAGATGACTCAACACCACAGCCTCCTCCGGAGGCAGTTCCTCAGACATGGCAGGAGATCCAGGGCATGCGTGTCCTGGATGCTGTCACCTTAGCTATTCGGGCTGCGAAGATCTACTACACCGCACATGAGCGTCCTGAGCGACTGGCATCAATCAAGGACAAGCGGGAGATCCGAAAGGAGCTCTTCAGTGTGCTCGAGGTGATGAAGCGATGGGCCGCTCGGAACTTTGCCGACGGGCTTCGCGAGGACGAGCGTACCGCCATTATAGGCTGGATGGGAAACGTACGCGACATGCTGGCGCGGGAAGCTCAGCTGGAATCATTTGAAGCCAAAGAGCGAGCTGCATGGATCTGGACGGAAGGGGAGTGGACAGGCAAGGAGCGGGACCGGGAGACGTTGTTCCTGCGTAGCCTGATCGGCGCCGACGCGCAGCTGCCCGCATGGACCGCTCCGGGGGATAACTCACCGCCGCCTGCCATGCTGGAGCGTCTGCGTGACGGCCGAGACCTGGTGCGGGCCCATAATTTCGCGATCAAAAATTCCAAGCGGCCGGTCTTCGACATCAAGACGTACCATCAGGATGTCGGAAAGCCATATCGCATGGCAGAGAACCTGCGATTCTGGATCAAGGCGGCTGAGCTACGATGGGAAACCAAGCTGGAGATCGACGTGATGGGGGTGGTACAGGGCAATAGCGACGAGGCTTGGAAGCAGTTCGACACCGCTCTGCTGTCCTGGTGTAGGGTAGTCCGCGAAGAGCTGGTGCGGGATTGGCGGGAGCGGCGAGCTTCGGCTGCCAGCCTTCCTAGTGACGATCTGGTGATCCGTCCTTTGTGATAGGAGGTGCTCGGTCGTCAATTGTGATCGATTTTGGTCACGAATAGGAAGAGAGGGGGCTTGTTTTTTTTGGGGGGGAAAGGGGAGAAGGGGAAGCCGAAGAAAGAGGAGGGGAATTGGGAAGGGGAAGACCGACGGGATGGTCGGTGGGTTCGTTCTTGCGCTTATTTTGCTGTCCGCTCTGGCCACATTGATACCCCTTGCTTGTCTGAGCTCAGTCAGGTTGGAAATATTTGTGTTTTACATTTCACCCCTCTGTCGCGATATGCTTGATCTTGCTTGTATCTCGGACGGGAGACACTCCCCTTCATTGTAACTATACGACTTTTGGCGCGGGAATATGGGCTATACTCCGTCTCTCAGGCGAACGTCGGACAGGTCGCCGACATCGCTGAGGTGTGCTGAAGGGGGTGCCCAATCCGGTTTCAGATTATACTTTCTTGTATCATTCTCAATATACATAATATTTGCTCACGAAGATTCAAACCTCGCTCACATCGATTGACAATTTGGCTGCCCTCGGGGCTAAGCTAGTCTAGTGGTTGGAGGGTGGAGTAAGATCCGGTGAAGGGCTGGGTCGCGCGGGCTTTGTTCCATGGATGCCGGAGGTTTTACTTTGTGTTTATTGGTACACACAAAGTGGAAGCTGCCGAGCTCAATGAAGTATGGGATTACAAAGGTCGTGAACAACATAATGGGCATAATTGAACAGTGCAGATCACAGATATCAGTCTATGGGCAAAGCATCACCAACAAAGTAAAAGCTGCTAGAGAACAAAGAGCCAAACAAAGCACTACTCTTAATTGACCTGGACACATCTCCTCCGCAATCTTTAAATTGACCGCGAACAGCCTGGTCCTCACGTCGGTTTCCAATCAACACACACTACCCTTCTAGCCTTCCAACAAGATCCTGCTCATAGCCAAAGAAGAAAAATGGCCATCTTTGAAGATGACTTGAACAACGAGACAATCATGCGAAACCAAGATAGCTCTGAAGTCCGTTACGGGCGCTTTAGAGTTTCTGAATATATTGTGCCTGCAGACATGATGCAGCGGCCGGAGCGGCTCGACTACTCTCGCATGCCGGCTCGACGTCCGTATACTGCGGCCGCTGAACCGATCGCCCCCGGCACCTGGCTCATCACGATCAAGTGGGATTGCAGCCTCCTCAACCTCAAAGCGGGGAGTCCATTAGGGTGCAGGATGACCTTTGCACGTTGGCCCTGGCCCGCGCTTTCAAAGAGCTGCGGGTCCGGTTCCCGACCTGCAAGCACGTCTAGGGCTGCGTCGACCTCTACGAGATGGTGGACGTGTACAGCAGTGAGCAGCAGCAGCAGCAGCCCTCTTCAGAGGACGATGCGCCTTCTCCTTCACCACAGGATGGGGCCATGACTCTGAAGTCGTGGGTCGCTGACCCGAGTCAGATACCTGTCGACGTCGACGAGGATGAGGATGACACAGCTGAGGACTGGTACCAGTATCTTGAAGCGTATGTTCAAGCGTGGCTGTCTGTGGTCCCGCGGAATGACTATGATGCGAAGGAGCTTGAGTGGTGCTCGAGCCATGAACCCAGGGAGGATGAAGCTACAAGAATAGGAAGGCCGCTTGTTAGCTCGGTATCCCAAGGGGATGGGCCAGACGGTTATTCACCCTTGTTGGCCTTGGGGTTGTGTAGACTGTGTGGTAAGGATCATGAGCCCTATCCTGGCGATGTTTCTCAGGCAGCTCAGGCAGCGGCTGATGACTAAATTAGTTCTTTAGCGGAAGCTTGTGAGCACTCTGTCAAAAAGGTAGGCGTGTTGTAGTTCTTAGTTGGAAGGCAGATGATTGAATATACTTTATTCATTCCTTCTGCTTTCCATTTCAATACTATTTTCAATACAATGGTTTCATAATAAGTTTTGAAGCACGTTCAGATATTAAATCCCAAGTACCAAGCAGCATAACTAACTAACTACCTAAGTGTAGTAGTGACTACGTAGACAGAAAGTAAGGAAGAAAGAAAGGATGCCGATAATTGTCGGCCCTTTGGGGCGGAGGATCAGCCCGGGCCCTGGTCGGGCACAACAATGGAGCCTGAGGCCAGCCGCAGCCGCCGTGTAGGGACAGCATGTCTTCTGTTTCATTCTCCCTACACCCTTACAATCGGTACATTCACCGTCACCCTTTTTTTACTCTGAATCTTTCATACATTCATCATTGATACTGCTGCTGCCCAAATCAAGTCCATATCTACTCAGTATAATGTCACCGGGACGTTGAGCGCGTTGACAAGTCGAGGATCTCTATTTGGGCCCGACGCATTTAAACCTAGGCTTGTGCTGAAACCGGATAAGGGGGAGGGATACCTAGTAACGTACCTAGTAGCTACCTGGGTAGCCCGCATACCTAACGCCTCCTAACGCCTACTAACGTTACTTACTCCTAGTCCACCCGCCGCGTTGGCGCATCCAGAGCCCATCAACCACATTCCTGAACCCACCCTTCATCATTGCTCTACTGCACGACTGCGTTAGTGCGTTAGTCACTCAGTCCTTCACACCCACACATCCTTTCGCAAGTTACCCACACAACCTCAATTACCCATAGTACCCATACATACGTACCCTTTCTTACCTTTTCCTAAATCAAATCAAAATAACATCCGACCGCAGTCGCCTCGTGGATTTTCCCCATCCATGCGTGCCATGTTCACCGGGTCGACTGCAACCACTGCAACCGCAACCACTGCGACCGCCGACCCCCCGGATTCCGGGCTCAACACAACATCCACCACCACCACCACCACCACCTCGTCGCCGTCACAGCAGCTCTTCTCACCTCCTCCTCCCCCTCCTCCTGCTGTCTCCGTCTCCGCTGCAGATGAGTCCTTCACGCGACGAATCAGATCCAAATCCTCTCTGCGCAGTCTCCGCAGCCTGGGAAGCAACAGTACGACGTACGACGACGACCCTGACGACACTCCCGACGCCAACAACAACGCCGAGAAGACGCTCATTCGCCCATCCATCCTCCGTCGATTATCCCCCGGCCTCGCCGCCCGCGTCAAGCTTCTCGACGGCAGCAACAGCAGCAGTAAGAACAACAGCCCGTCTCGAGTGGGCGCTGTGGGCCGCATCCCCGAGGAACACATAAAGGAGTTGGACAGCTTGCACCAGGACTTATCGATAAGGATTCAAAAAAAGGGTCGCACGTGGAATGGTCTGCACCGGGCCCACAAGGAAAGGAAACAACAACAACAGTCCCTTTCACAGCAGCAGCAGCAGCAGCAACAATCGTGCGATTTAAATCACTTGGAGGTCCCCGACCCAGTGCTCCTGGAAGAGCTACTAGCGGATGAGCTCTACGCAGACGAAGCTTGGGAATCTTCGGAGCAAGTCTCAGAACAGCACGTGCTTACCTCGGTTCTACAACCCGACTTACATTCGCTGTTGATCGCTTCGGTTCCAGAAGAGCGTTCTCAGAAAGGGGACTCTCTGAAAGAGTGTGGAGCGGAAGTAAGGGCAGATACGGAGGCAGAAGCGGAAGCGGAAGCAGAAGCAGAAGCAGAAGCGGTGCCGGAAGCCGAAGTCGCAGCTAAAGCAAAAGAAGAAGAAGAAGACGAAGTGCAGCAGGACAAGGGAGCGATCGAAGAGCCACTACTCGACATGGCTACCCTTGAACGATCCCGTCTGCCACTCCGCCCCGGATCAACGAATGGAATGCCGTCCACGAACCCGACCGACTTTGAAAAGTATCTCAAGAGCACCAGCGACAATGAATCCGCTCCCCCTCCCCCGCCGCCGAAAGATTCTCCCCGCCCCCTCTCAATCTCATCTGCGAATTCGCAATCCTACTTCAACCCGCTCGGGCTACAACGCTCAGAATCCATATACTCGTTCTCAAGGGCCTCCTTTAGCAATCAGCTTTCGCAACTCACGTCCATCTCCCTTCCCCAACCATCCTTACTCGAGGCTGGTATCGCGTCCATTCCGACCGCCGCCGCCGCCGTAAGGGCCCTCACGGGAGCTGCGGACCAGATTCAAATTTGGATCAAAAAGGCCTCCGGTGTTTTGAGCGGGCTGGATGCCGAGGACGACGTCGAATGGGCAGCTGCCGGCGGAAGAGAAGGGCTGGACGGGGTCGACGGAGCCATCACCCGATTTGAGAGTCTGATCAACGTTTACGTCAAGGCTATTGAGGACGTGCAGATGCGCGACGATATCGAGAACGTCTCCACTGATCAATTGAACTTGATTGTTGTACAGATGGACGGGATCATCCATAGCTGGTCGCAGATCAAGGATCGACTGAAAGGAGTCAAAGAACAAGTGGAGCTGGCGATGGAATGGGAGGAACTATGGAGCAATGTCTTGGGCGATGTTGGAGTGGAGGTGGAAAATCTCGGCCGGCTCATCTTCGAGATGGAAGAGAAGCGACACTGGACCATGGCGGGTGAACAGGATTCCAGTGCTACGGGACTCGACATCAATGAGCTGGAGACCATCGTCGAGGAAACGCCAGCAGGTGGCCGCATGTCGACCAGCAAGCGGTTCAGTCTGGAGCCTCTGTTCGCGGCACCGACTCTGGATATGCCTATCATCCAGACGCCGCATGACGATTCCAACCACTCCAACTTGATCGCCTTGTTTGCGAGGATCCAACCGCTCCGTGCATCGCTCGACTTCCTCCCCATGCGACTGTCCATGTTCCAGTCGCGGGCGGTGCGGATATTCCCCAGCGCCTGCCAGGAGCTCGAAGATCGACGCAGTCAGCTTGAGAAGGCCTACAAAGGGCTGGAAGCTGATGCAGAAGCCTTGCGGGACGAGCTCAGCGAGGACCGGTGGATTCTCGTATTCCGCAATGCGGGCAATCAAGCGCAGAAGATGTTCGAATCGGTTGAGAGGAGCATTGGGAAGCTTCAGGAAGCCATCGAGACCAGCGCTCAGGTGCACAACCCGGCCCAGTTCACGAAACGGGTCGAAAGCTACGACGCCAAGAAACAGCATTACGTTGCTGCGATTGAGCGGGTGGTGTCGATTATCCAGAAGGGTGTGAATGACCGTCTTACGGTCAACGGAGAAACTCTACGACTGTTGTCAGACATGACATCGCGGGTCGATGCTCTGAAGGCCAGCATCCGGGTAATGGATGCATCCTTGGAGGATATCAGCTTCACACGGTCTCAACACCTGCGCGACTCGATCTCGAGTATCCTCACCATGGATAGCCCACTGACCGGGAGTGTCCCTGAGACTCCCGGCAGTTCCCCAGCTTCATCGGTCATCATGACTCCGGCGAATGCATTGAAGCGATCTACCACGCCGGTCAACAATTCCAGCCGTCGTGGTAGCTCTGTCAGTTCGGTGGCACGCACGACCATGTCGAAGGTGCGACGATATTCTGGGTTGCCGCAAGTCACATCCACCTTAACAGCGAAGAAATCAGCGATCCCCAAGGCGTCACTCGGGGTGACCTCGCCTACGAAGCACGTGGCCGCTACGCCGACGCCGGCGGCGCGCAAACCGGTACCACGTACCCCAGCTCTGCCGCCAGCGTTGGCCAATAGGCCGCGGTGGACCACCAGCACCAACACCAGCGACTTGGATAAATACAAGTCTAATTCCCTCCATACACCGTTCCGCAAATCGTCCGCCCAGGGCCGCACGTCGCGCCCTTCCTCTACACTCCCCATGACTCCGTACCGCCGCGATATGTCGGTGTCACCGGCACCGATGAGCGCGCGGTCGGTCAGTCGGGTGTCCAGCCGTCTGGCGTCGCGCAGCCCGTCGCGAGTGGCGTCTCCCACCCCGAACCGATCCCTTCTGGATCCTCCCCCTTACAGCAAACTGCGCCGACCCGATGGGTTGGCCACTGCGCCGCGCAGCCGACAGAGCTTCGCGGGGCTTTCCTTCAGCCGCAGTGTTTCGCAAGATCACAGCCGCGCACTGGCGAGCCCGACCAAAGCGCCTCCGACGCCACGGCCGGAAACGTCGCTCGGACATGCGAGCAACCGTCGCATCAGCTTGATTCCATTGCCTAAAGGCCGGACCGGCAATGACAATGCGCCTAGCACGCGCAGCAAGCTGGGTGAGCGACCTCCCTGGCGGGGCTAGTCGCGTCACATCTTCCGGGTAATTGTTTTTCTTAATCGTTGTCATGTAATTGAACTGGAGCATTGCGATTGGGGGTTTTGTATGGTGATATAGCCGATTTTGCGTGTCTTTGCAGATTGATATCCCCCTCAAGCATTTTTTTCAGCGGTGTATGTATGGGATTGATCATTTCTGGTGGTGTGGTTTTAGGCAAGTAATCATCTATGTTTATCTTATCTATCACAGGCCAAGTGGAACAAGGATATTTACATGTTGCTTCCCGTGTTGCCCAGTGGGGTTGGGGTATAGTTATGTGCAGCGAGTCGGAGAAGTGCTTTAGACCAAATCCCGGCCAATGATCAACGCATCGACCAATTCCGCGCTGTTAGCCAGGCGCGCGGCGCGGGGCACGCGGCCGATGACCTGGAAGCCCAGCTTCTCCCAGATCTTGATGGAGGCGGTGTTGTTGGCGAAGACGAGGTTGAAGACGGAGTATTTGTAGCCCTGTCGGCGTCGTTGTCGTTGTCGTTAGCATCGTCAGTCTCGGTCTGCCCCGCCAGCCGCACCCTCCACCTCACCCTCATCACCCCCGAAGCAAGCAAAGCAAAAGAGAGGAAGGAAGGAAGGAAGGAAACATACCAACACCGGCGCAACCTCCAAATAAGCCCGGCCCATCACCATGCCCACGCCGCGCCCTCGAGCCGCCGGAGTCGTAAAGAACCCGGCGTTGCAGACATGCGAACACCGACCTGTCCAGTATTGACCACGTTAACATCAGCATCAGCTCCCCCCTCCCCCCCTGGAAACCATCATACAGGGAAAACCCATGTAACATACCCGGATAATTCGGCTTCACGTAAAACGTCCCCAAGCACACGCGCTCCCAATCCCGGCCCTCCACCAGGCCCCCCCTGTCGGCATCATCATCATCATCAACCAAAGCAATCACCGCAAACGTCCCAAACCAGTAATTCCGGTACTGCTCCAGCGTCATCGGCTCCTCCATCGGGTACGTGCTGCCGCGGACGATCTCGGCGCTGAATTCCCGGTGCAGGTACGCGATCAGACTGTCGGGGACGGTGGACGGCCCCCCCGCGATGGGGTACAGGGTGACCGGCGTGGTGTTGTCTTTGAGGACGGCCTTTTTGGGGGTGAGGGTGGGTGCGGCGGTTTGCGCGGCGGTCGGCGCGGGGAGGGTGGTGAGGGGGTCTTCGAGGAGGGCGGGCATTTTTTTTTTTGTTTTGGGTGCTTTGCTTGTGGGGGTGGTTAGGGGGGGTTGATGGTAAGGACTGGATTGAGGATGAGGATGAGGAGGAGGAGGAGGAGAGGGGGGGGGGGAAGTATTTGGTTAAGTGCTCGGTTGAGGGGAGGGTAAGTTATAGGCCAAGTAAAAAAGAAAGGCCGATGTCAATCGGAGGGCGCGGCGCATGCGCGGGGAAGGGGAAGGGGAAGGGGAAGGGGATTTTATTTTTCGGGGGCAAGCGGGCAGCGGGCAGCGGGCAGGTTCCCCGATAAGCGGGAGGCGATAAGATCAGTTACTGGGTAGGGATCGAGGGGAAATTTCAGTTTGTGGTTCACACCCGGGTTGCTACTAAACGGTTGGACTAAACTGGTGGGTTGGTTGATGTGTGGGGCTGCCTGGGCTGGGCTGGGTCGGCGCGGGATGCCGAGGGTCTATCTTTACTGTCGAATAGAATGGTACTCGGAGAATGTAGAATGTAGATTGTAAATTGTAGATGGTAGATGGTAGAACATCACTCAAGATCCTGCCATTGAACTATTTCAAGTCCTTCATCAGACTCTTCATCTTCGTCTGGTTCTTCCGGCTGTGGTGGTGGTGGTGCTGGTGGGGTTTGTTCAGGTGTGGGAACTGTCTCTGGCTCTGGTGGTGCTGTGTTTAGGATTGTTGTTTCTTCCGTTTGCTGCTCGGTCTGCTTGCGCTTCTTGCTCTTGCTCTTGCTCTTGCTCTTGCTCTTCTTCTTACCCTTCTTCTTCCCTCGCTTGCTCTTCGCCGTCTCGCTCGTCTGCGGAGCCTCCCCAAGATCCCCCCCAGCCTTGCCCTCAGCCCACGCCCGCAACAGCTCCGGATTCCGCAAACACCATACCACCACCTCCCTGGCGGCCACACACTCTTCCCACCCGTCACACGTGCCCTTCTTCCTCTGCTTGCCTTTCTTGCTGGTAGCAGCAGCAGCAGCAGCAGCAGCAGCAGCAGCTTGCTCCTCCTCCCGCCTCCCACCCCACCCCAACACCTCCCCACACAGCTCCCCCAACCCCCACACCCTCCGTATCGGCACCGTCGACCTTTCCAGAAAAACCGCCTCCGCCGTCAGGATCCCCGCATCCACCACCCGCTCGTGCACCATCCTGAGCAGCTGCAGCCCGCGCTGCAGCCCATAGCCCACGAGGACCGTGTCCGCGTCGACGACCTCCCACAGTGCCGTTCGCGCTGCATCGGCGTCGGCCGCAGTGGCACGGGTGCTCTTGTCGGTGCATCTGCTTTGCACCTCCTCGGCTGCCGGACCAACGGCCAGGTGCAGGAGCGCTTCACTACTCAAAAAGTCTGTGGCGGTTAGATGGGTCAAACCCGTTGCTTGTGGGTCGGTCTCGCAGGTCAGAACGATGGCTCTGCGTTTGGGCTGCGTGGGGTTTGCCGGGGGGGTGGGCTGGTAGTTCCTCCCGGGGGTCTGTGATGCTGTGGGGTAGTTCTGGGCTCGCAGGCGGGCTCGGGGGTGGCATCGGGAGAGCAGGTATTTGTATAGCAGGTCTTGTTCGAGGGGGTGGAGGGTGGAGGGGTGGGGTGTAGTTTTGGGGAGTTCTAGGGAAGGTGTTGGGGTTGGTGGTGGGTTTGCTTGTTGCTTGGAAATGGTGGCAGTGGACTGCTGCTGCAGAGTGGGTTCCGATGTAGGGCTGGTGGTAGTTGTAGTTGTAGTTGTGGCTTGAGGTTTTGCGAGGGCAGCAGCTGCCTTTCGTTGATGGACTTGTTGGTGTTGCTGCACGGCGTGCTTATCACAGAACTCTTTGGAGCATAGCGGGCACGCGACAGGATGATGGGCCCGGGCTTGCTGGTGGTTGCTCAGCGCCTCGGCCGTCTTGAAGCTCTTCTTCTTGCAGCAGACGCATTTGAATCTGGGTGGGGAGGTTGCTGCTGCTGCTGCTGCTGGTTGGGTTGTCATTGTGAGTCAGTCCAACTCGGTTAGAGTCTGGTATGAAAATGAAATGCAGAGGATGAAAAGGCTGCGAGGCTCTCGCTCTCCCTTTAACTACAGTACCCCGCAGCTTGCTTACACATGCTATAGTATTTTATAACTACCGAGTACTTACGATCAGGCAGCCTCACAGATACAGTACAGTCTGCAAGGATCATCCATTATCCTTCCAGGCTACATTCTTCGTTTTGGTTAGTCTATATACAGTATCTCTCACAATCTTACACTCTTATTCATCCCTAGACATTCCCACATTGTGGCGCATCGAACGCAACCGCGACTATGCCTTGCCATCCCCGCTCTCGCCCTCGCCCTCCTCATTCTTGATCGCCTGCATCAACTCGTACAACTGGCCAATCTGCTGGTCTACTCGGATTAGCCTGCATCACTAGAACCCCTCTGGCAGAAAGACAAGAACCCACCACTCATCTTATCCAACTTGCCCTTATCGAGCTTCTCCCCGATCCAGGCATCGCCCTCCAGCTTCTGCGCGTATAATTGCCACTCCGTGAGGAAGCCGATCTAAAAAAAATGCGTTAGCTTCGGGGCAGCTCCTCCACCACACAACAATGAATGAGACGACATACGATATGCAACGGGTTCTCCACGTTGCGATGCGCACGGAACTCGCTCTGGACGTACGAGTCGCCCAGCAGGCGCATCTGGGGGTCGAGCTTCTTGCGGTGCACGCGGAGAATGCGGCGGTAGAGGGGGATGGGCGGGAGGAGGGCGAGGGCCTCGGTGAGGCTGGACTTGGAGCCGATAGAGGCCGGGGTCGCCAGGAGGCGGGCTGTGGGGTGGAAAGGCAGGCGCATTGTGACTGATGAAGATTCTCGACCGACTTGAATGATGGACTCGAAGCAACTGCCAGGGCAGGCAGGGCGGGCAGCCTCCGGACGAGACCGAACGGATCGTTTACGGTCGATACTGCCGCGGTAAATCCCAAGGCGGGGAGAGGTCCCGACCAATCGCATGGCGGTGATTTCTCCCCAGCTCTCCAGCTTTTTGATCCATGCCCGATATCGATTTCGGTCTTTATCGGACCAGCCAGACATTCTTGAACTTCACCATTACTACAACAATTGCACAACACAACCCATCGCAACCCCGTCTGCCTCAGGCCCTACCCACCGGGCTCCTCACAATGCTCCCCACCCCTTGCACCGCGCACGTCCCCTTCGACACGATCTACGAACCCGCCGAAGACAGCTACCTCTTCCTGGACACGCTCTCCTCCGCCTCCGAAACCGCCTGGCTGACGCAACATTTCTCACCCACCACCCCGAGCCCAACCATCCTCGAAGTCGGGTCCGGCTCCGGCGTCGTCCTCGCGTTCTTGGTGGCCAACAGCCCGACGATCCTCGGCCGCGCCGACGTGCTCTCGCTGGCCACGGACCTCAACCGCACCGCCTGCCTCGCGACCCGCGAGACCGTCGTCAAGGCCATTGCCGCGCAGCAGAACACAGACCCAACCACAAACACAAGCCCCTCCACCACAGACACAGACACAAACCGCGCCGGCCCCGCCGCCCAAGCCCAAGAGAGCCCCTCCGCCGTGAAATCCACCCACCTCTCCACCCTGCAATCCAACCTCGCCTCCAGTTTCAAGGCCGGCAGCATCGACATCCTCCTCTTCAACCCGCCCTACGTCCCCACCGACGCCGTCCCGCGCGCCCCGACGGCCACGGACTTTGTGCCCCCCGAATCGCGCAGCGAGCAGTTCGAGCGCGAATCCTACCTCCTCTCCCTCACGTATGCCGGCGGCAAGGACGGGATGGAGATCACGGAGCGGCTGCTGGCGGATCTGCCGCGGGTGCTGAGCCCGCGCGGGGTGGGGTATGTGTTGCTGTGCGCGCAGAACCGGCCGCGCGAGGTGGCGGAGCGGATTCGGGGGTGGAGGGAGGGGGTGGATGGGGCGACGGGGTGGTGCGCGGAGATTGCTGGGTTCAGCGGGGTGAAGGCGGGGTGGGAGAAGTTGGTGATTCTGCGGGTTTGGCGGGAATGCATCAGAGAAGAATGATCTCTGGGGGAGGGTGGATTGTGTATGTACATATAAGGGGTTGGGGCTGGGGAATGGATAGATTAATGATTTATGATTATTCAGGGATAATGGCATGGTTTAGTTGATAGAGAGGTTCGCTTCTGCTCTGCTCTGCTCTTGACAGTGACACTTAATCTATCTTAGGGGTTGCGTTGATTTATCTCTCGAACTACAACTACAACTACACAACCCAATACACTGCCCAACAAGCAAGAAACGAGATCACGAATAAAACGAACTCCATATTTTCCCATGACGATGATGATGACTTTCAGAGAAAGGAAAAGATTTAGCAAACAAATGAACGCAATAGATGATCCCCTCCCTCCACCCACAGCAAGTAGGGTAGGTATCCCATCCCAACCCCTCACCACAAACCACGGCACTTCCTCCCCTCACCCATCCCACCCAAATTCAACCCCATAACCCCCGGAGAAAGGGACAGACACCAGGGAGAAAATCTAGAACCCCCGGCCCCGGCCCCTGCCACGTCCGCGTCCCCTCCCGCGGGGCCCACCTCTGCCCCCGCGACCCCCACGGTCCGCCTCCTTGCGCGCCTTGTTCTTGGGCTTGGGCGTGTCGTCGATCAGCAGCGTGTCGAGCGGCAGGCTATCCGGCAGGATGTAGTAGCGGATGGTGGAGCCGCGGATGTTGATGGTGTCGAGGCCGATGGGGTCGCGGCCCTTGGGGGTCATCTTGACGGTGCGGAGGCTGGTGTTCATCTGCGGCGAGACGGAGGTGATGGTGCCGTGGAGGATGGTTCCTTTTTCACGTCCCCGGGGGAGTTGGTGTTAGCTTTGCTCTTTTGTGGGGGGTTCGTGGATGTGGATGCGATGCTGTGCATGTAGTGTACTGTACTGCATGCAACCACGCCGCGGAGCAAGATGCTGGACAGCGAAGACTCACCATTCTTCAGCTCGATCGTCACCGTCTCATTGGCGCATTTCATCAGGAACCTGGACCGGAACCGGGGGCGGTTAGTTGTTTCTTCCTTTCTCTGGATAGGGTGGTGGGCGGCCTACCGGACGAGCTTCATCTTGGCAGCTGGTTTAAAGCACAGACTCGAATTCAAGAACGCGAAACTGATAAAGAAGAAACCTGCTGCTGGTCAATCCTTCCTTCGACCTTCGAACGTTTCGCGTGGGTTGGCTGCGGTGATGTCGAGATCGCGGCGGCGCTCAGAGGCTGAGCTTGCTTGACCGCCTTGTCACGTGGGGGAGCTTGGGGTGGGTCTAGTCGGCTGAGTCAGATGGCATTTATGCATGCACACCATCACCATGTCGGTGCTCCGTAGATAGTTCTACATCCTACCAAATCTCACTTTCATATCTCAAATCTCATTGCAATCCGAAATCGCTGGGTGGTATCTTAACACTTAAATCACACCGACGCCTCTGTCCGCCCACCCCAAAAAATCACAGCACCCCGTGTCGTGCCTTGTAAATCGCGATCTTATCATCGTAGAACAAAATCTCCCGCAGCCGGAACGACACCCGCGACCGGTTGAAGTCCACCTCCGAATCCTCGCCATCCGACGAGCCCCGGTCGTCCGACGACGAGTCCGACAGCGTATGGATCGCGCTGGCCCCGCCGTCCTCGTCCGACTCCTCCTCGTCGTTGGTCTCGGAGCCCGGCCAGTCCTCCCCGCCGGGCACGAACCCCTCGCTGTGGCTGTCGTCCGTGTCGTAGTACTCGCCGCCGGCCTCGCCGTCCTTCCCCTCCAAGATCTCGTAGCATTTGTCCTGGACCCCGACGTAGGTCAGCCCGATCTCCGGCCGGATCGTGACCACGTCGAGGATGAGCATGGCCAGTTCCTTCGGGTCGCGGTGGACGTGGCGGGCGATGTGCGGGATGTGCAGGGCACGGAGCTGGGGCATGTACGGGAGCCTCTGGATGAAGTAGTGCTAACCATAACAGTGTCAGTGGACGTTGCTCTTCGTGTCTAGTGAGAAAGCGAAAAAGGGACGCAATCTTACCCAGTCCTTAGCGTGGAGAGCAATGGACAGCTCCTTCAGCCGAGGCATCCGACCACTGCTCATGAACGTAATCATCTGGCGCGTGAACATCCACTTGTACCATCGCACGCTAGCCATCTCCGCGCCCCCCGGCGTGCGCTGGGTGCTGTCCACCAGGATCTTCTGCAGACTCAGGTGGTGATTACGAATCGCGTTTTTGTAGATCGCGTCGATGTTGACGATCGACTCGGACATCGGCGCCTCATGCAGGAAGAGGGTCTCCAAGGTATTTGGCGCTAGCGTATCCTTGATGAACAGCAGCAGGTACGGCGATACGGCATCCGTATGGAGGTGCTTTAGTCGAAGGATGTACTCTGGGCCCTCCCCACTCTTCGGCCGTGACGGCGACGGGGAGTACTGGCGCCGCAGAGCCCGCCAGAGCTTCTCGTGGTTCTCACAGCGAAGGATCGTCAACGTGGTCAGCTTGCTCCAGTCGAGTGCATGCACTGCCACCGGGATCGACAGTGCAACGCGCTCCAGCTCGAGTGTCTCAAGTTGTAACAGCGGGCGATCGTCTTCGGGCGTTGTTTGTGCCCCCGTGACAGACCTCGATGGCCCGCTGAGGATCGGCGAGGGTCTAGTTTCTGAAGGGGAGGACGCGGGCGAGCTGGCGATGTGCGTGTGTTCCATATTTAGGGCCAGCCCAGTGACACCACCGTTCGGTTGGGGCGGAGACCCCGCTATCAACGGGGGCCCGTCGTGGACAGGCACGTCACCCGCCGTCTGATTAGTTTCAGGAGGCGTCTCAACAGAATCCTCCTTATTGGGAGAGACACGGGCCTGTGATTCGGGCCGAGTGTGATGATCTTCAGACCTGCCAAGAACGACCCCCAGTACGCCCCCAGATCGGGGCCAGCCAATGATTCCATTCGGCGGCGTTGGCTGCTCAGCTTGCCAGGTCCCTGCCGGTTTCAGCCATGCCGCTGGATACGCTTTGGGAGAGATCCCAATACGGAGTTCTTTCAGCCGACCGCGCGACCGCTCGACCAACACGCCCATCTCTTCCAAATACGACGGCTCGTCGATGTCCAACACGCTCAGACTCTTCAATGGTGGAAGGATCGACAGAGAGGGGTATTCCACGTGTCCGTATCGTTGCCACGATGCTGTATTCCCTGTAGACCCCAGAATCGTAGCCGGCGAATGAGGCAAGGTCACCGAGGACGCAGTCGGGCCTGAGGCTACCAGAGACCGCAGGGCATTGTCGGAGTTATCGTGCCAGCGCACCCAAACGCGTTCCAGACGGCATTCGTGGCCCGGGCGAGTCGCCAGCGACGCCAGCGCAACCCAGACATCCCGCAAGACTCCCGTGGGCATGTCCCAGACGAAGGTCTCCAGGTTCACCATCCGAGCCACCGCCAGAGCCACCAGCGTCCCCAGCATCTTGCCCGTCTCCTTGGTCACCGCGTATTCCTGCACCCACATCAACGGCCCGTTGCCGACAGAGAACTTGCGGGTATACTGCGCGTAGTAGTTGCCGCGGCGGACTCGCGGTAGTCCGCCCGCCGCATGCTGACCGGGCGGCGCTCCGCTGCACCCGCAATGTGGACACGGCTGTGACGACCGTCGGCCAGGCACCTCGCGGAATATATCCTCCCCGGTCACGAGAGTCGCCAACCCGTACGACAGAGCATCCACGCCAGCCGGATGGTCGGAGGTTGATAGGGCTTCCGGCCAGACGATGTCGAACCGGGAGTACATCTGCGGGATCGCCAGCGAATGAAGCGCAGAGCAGGTCAATGCAAGGGATGTGAGATCGGTCGTGTGGGTCACCTATGTTGTATTCCAGATCTGATCAGTATGGTTGACGTGTTTGGGGGCGGGGGGGGGAGGGGTCAACATCAAGTGACCCGAGCGGGTTACACACCTCTTTCATGATCTCCTGCAGTATATCCATGGGCAAGTCAAGCAGGTTCAAAGGCTTCCTTTTTGACGGATTGGAAGCTGCATGGGGACTAGCACAGCAGGTGACCGCCGTCTTCGCTCCCCCAGCCTTGTGCGGGTTGTTGTGATTATTGTTGTTGGGGTTGTTTTCCGGAGACCCGCCAGCAGCTTGCGGCTGCTGGGGACTCGCATTCCCCGCATTCGCAGATTCCTTCATCTGAGACTCATACGCGCTGGAGGTTGTGCTGGCACTCGAGACAAATTCCTCCTCTTCATCTGAGAGACCATCGAGATCGGAGCTGACGCGAGAGCTTAGATTTAAGCTGCTGGGTCCGGCCATGGTGGCGGGTTTTGATTGAAAGTGGACTGACTGTCTGACAACTCTGTCCGTGGAGAGTGAGCGGTGAGGGGTTCAGGACATGCCAGTCACCTCCGACCACAACAAAAGTCCGTCAAAGGAATTCCAGAGGTCCTACCCGTCAAATAAAGCAGTTGTTACAAGTAGGAAGTGGGGGGAAGGGGGGGGAACAATTAAAGTCAGGAGATGATGATGAGATGAGAGATGAGCTGGTGGTCAACTGCGGAACTGACGGGACAGGATCCGGGGTAGACGAAGGCGAAGATGGGGAATGGGTGGGAACACCGCCAGAACACTGAGCTGAACCAGAACCAGATCAAGCGAGCCCAACCCGTGCCAAAATTTGAAACAAGACTGCCAATCATCGACTGGTTGTCAACGGTGCTTTGCTCAGGACCGGCATGTAGTAGATGAAGATGCAAATGGAGTATGGAGTAGTGAAGGAGGAAGATAGATCAGCTTTCAGCCTGTCCACTTGGCGTCAGCCATGCAGTAGTTTAGTTAAGTCAGTTGAGTCTAACTAACTAAAGCAGTCTAACTCAAGTTAAGATAGTCAAGTTAGTCAAGATAATTAAGAAAGCTGCCGTGGTCTGAGCGCTGCATGCCTATCCTATCCAGGTCTAGTGCCGTCTCCCACCCCCGTATCTTATCGTATCCCAGCAGCTTCCCATCGTCACCACTTCTTTCAAAGGTATACAAATTCTCTTCGTATCATGAACTATGCTATGAACACTGAAATCCATCAAAGTTGACTGGTACAGCTAATCGGAAAGAAACACAAGACATTTACCACACCTCCACTATACCAACTTCAAATAAGAACAATCATTCCCCAATCCTACCGACATTCTTATTTACTGTTCGCCTCCCCCGCATACAACACATCACAAACCCGACCAACGAAGCCCTCAAGCCCGGTCCAAGAAGAAGAGCTCGACCCCTGAGTAGAAGCCAAGCCTGTGGACGCTGCAGGCATCAGAAGCACCCGCGATCCGATCTCCACCCATTCAACCGAGGAGACGAACAGGAATGTGATCTTGATCTCACCGGCCTCGGAGCTACCCGAGGACTTGATCACCTCGTGCACACCATGCTCCCGCCCACGGTCCGGATCAGGGCCATCCCCATCGAAGCTGAAGAACTCCGGCTCCGTCGGGGATGGGGGGCGCGAAATCACCTCATCTTCCGCGAGCGCCATGCAGGTCAGCCGCACTGTCGAGCGGACATTGGCGACGTAGACCGTCGCATGGCCACCCAACAGCACAGGTGGGGACAACGCAGATGCAAATTCGCTAGCCGCAAAGCTGGCCACGAAACCGGTCTGGAATTTGCGCGGGGCAGAAGCGGAGTCAGGCGGGATCTTGATCAACACGGACCCTTTGCGGATTTTGCCGAGTTGGGGTCGTTCCCCGTCCGTTGGGAGTGGCCAGGGCTCGATCCCGACGGTCCCTACTTGATCCCAGGTTAGGCTCTGCACCGGCAGCCGCAGGTTGCGGACACTGACGGCCCGCACGCGCTGCCAGCTTGCCTGCGCCGCAAGAGGGGTCTTCCCGGGAAGAGAGCCATGAGGGAACGAACTCGAAAAGTCCCCGGATGGCGGCCTACTCCGGGAGGAACTCGAGGATAGCTGTGTGTCCGAGCATCTATCCGTCCGGTCTTTGGGGGCAGAAGTGCCGGTTCCATGCTCCGTAGCAGTATTGTATATGACAGGCCCAATGACTAGCTCATCACCGACCGAGATAGCTCCATACCGGACTAGCCCGCAAAGAACAATGCCGTGCGTCTCCTTCTGTCGCTCCTCACCGGACAGAGAATGGACCTTTGACAGTGGGATGGCAAAGACCTCGTCAACGTCAAAAATCGTCTCAAACGCAACTGGAGGGGCGAGGGCCTTTGGTAAAGAAACGTCCCTCAAAGGCGGCCGTGCGGGTATTGGGAGATAACGCAGCAGCGCATGCAGCTTCGCTATCCCCGAGCCGTCCACAGCACTTGTAAGAACAATAGGTACGGTAGACTGCCAACTGTGTGTCGAAGCGACGAGATTTTTCACTTCACCTGCATCCTTGGTCCCAATATGTTGCAAGTCTCCAGCAGGGGCCGCTGAGACAGACAACATCGAAGGCTTTCTGCCGGATGACTTCAGGACCGAGAGGATCTGCGCGAGGTTTTTTTTCAAGCCGGTGCGGGACGCGATGTCCAGTTTAGTGATCACGATCACTGTAGGAAGCCCGAGCTTGGCACAAAGCTCCAGATGCGACAGGGCCTGCGATAATTCAGTAGACTGCTCAGACGAACCGTGGGCAATATCCGCCACTGAATCATCGTCACTTGTAGCCGGGATACAGAGGATAACATAATGCGGAGCCCAGCTGATGATACCCCTAAAAGTCGACTTCAAATACCGGACCGAGCCTGGAAGATCAGACACGAAAGCAAGTCGGCCGCCCTCCGACGCGGCATGGATGTCATCCCATGCGGCGATATTGCCAGAAGCGTAGTTAATCACATCGATGGTATCGGGACTAGACTCGTTAGAGGCGTATCCAATCAGCTCGTGGGCAACAGAGCTGGTGATCCCTGATGATATCTCGTGCCGATGCTTCAGTAACCCCAGTCGACTGGCCCCTCGACCATTGTCGAGCACAGACGAGGTCAAAGTGCCCAGAAGTGAAGATTTGCCGGCTGCGCTGGGGCCCGAAATAGAGACGCGGATCTGCTCTGTCTTGGAAGAGTCGTCTAGCGAAGGCCGTCTCTGGGGGGCACTCGTCGAAGACCCGTCCTCCCCTGCGCCTGACTTCGGAGACTTGACCCGGTAGAACTCCCAATCAGGACTCACGAGGGCCTCGGCCACCCAGAGGCTATCCGTATGAACCTTGCCGGTATCGGCTTTCGCGCGGCAGGAGTCTTCGACCCACTCGCACTTGCCAACAATGACCCTACGCAGGATCTCGACCTTGCAGCCAAGGCTGGCCGCCATGACCTGCAGAGTGGACAAACTTTCTTCCAGCTCGTCCACGGTGAGTCCGACAAAGGTCCCGTCGTCAGCAACCCCTATCTCATACAGAGCTCCCTGGCTCTCCTCGAGACCCGGGAGCAACCTAGCTGGCTTTTGCGGCGCCCCCAGCTGAGGGGCTGCGTCAGGGAGCACGGGCAGGACCAGATTGGCAGTCGTAGATGAGTGGAATGGTGACGACTGCTGCAGGCGCCAGAGTAACTGCGTAGTCAGGTGCTGCAGTCTCTGCTGACGACTCTCCGTGGAGCGAGCCTGCGGCGGTCGGGCAGCTGATTCGGAGCTGGAGGGCGTCGGGCTTGCGTTGGAGAGGCTCGCTCGGAAATGATACGAGCCTCCCACCAGGTGGCCCGTGGACATGGCGACAAACGGACGACGGGGACGCAGCAGCAGATGCAGCTTGTATTCGGTGGGACCCTCTTGTGGTTCGGGTTCCAGCTTTGCAATGCCATAATCGGAAAGCAGGTCAGGGTCGGCCCGGTCCAGCGTCGTGCTGGATCGGGTCCGAGGCACCACGCGGTTGCTGGTAGCCGCTGCCATCTGGGGTGTTGAGGAGCCTGATGTCGACCACGGCGAAGAGACCCTAGGAGGATCGGGGTCATAGGTGAATACTGATGCCATTATGAATGGTGGTCGAGTAGAATTTAAGTGGCAGGATATTCGGAGCGATAGCGATAAATTGTGGATGTTGACAGCAGTCAGCACGAATTGTATGATCCTAGCAGGACCTCTGACCGAGTCGCTTCACTGCAGGTTCCTATATTCGACGCGCTTTGGTATAGCCTAGTGTACGTAGTCCTTCGCAATGACCATAGATCGATACTATAACAGGCATCTTGGGAGGGAATGCAATAGCTAGAGACAACAGACTAGGCACTAGTTGGCCAACGGGACGCGTGAAAGTGTGTTTCTGAATCCAATTGCAGGAGATATGTAAACGAAGAAACAAGCGGACTGATCAAGGGAGACGGACCATCTTCGATGCGAGTTGAGTGAAGTGGGTTGAGTGAGTCATGCATCCTGGGAATTCAGGCATCGGAAGAGCCGCGGTCCTTACGACATCGACTTGGTCAGGTGACTTCGATGCAGAAGACAGCCACGTGTCAACCTTAGTGCCTCAGGCTCGGTCAGATTCCCTGCTAGCCTCCAGGCCAACAAACACATGGTTGGGCTACCAGGGGCTAGTCATAGTACTAGACTACTTAGCTGTTTTTCGGTCTGTTTCAGGTAAAGATAGCAAATATCAATAGTCTTCGAATCCAAGAAAGCCCGAAAGCATTAGTGCTTATCCCAGTTGACTGTCCGTCTTCTTGATCGGCAATGCTTTGGTATTCTTTGGTCATAAATTTAGCAGCGTGTCGTTTCATACTGCCCCCCTTACACGAAGTCTGCATTTGAGTCGCCAACAGTCAGCAGCACCGTAATTCCAGATTTCGTATTGCCCGTGGACAATCAGTTCTGAGTGAGACACGGTGTTGACAGAGGTGGACGATTGTTGGTGGGGGTGAAGTAGTCGAAGAGAAATGGCGTTCTAGAAGTATTTGATGTACATCGCTGTCTGATCTAAATCTAGCAACAGGTATCCGGTCTAGATGACATCGCGAAGTCGCCCGAGTAAGATGACGGGCCAAGGTACTGCTGAAGATATAAATGGTGTATCACAGTAACACAAACAAGAACAATCTCATAGGGTATTAAATCACGATAAATGAAAACCAGAACAATGCAAGAAATAATCGCTCCCAAAACGTAATATGCAAGAAATGGACACTCCGGAATGTGTCTATTGGTAGATCCAACGTACCCCTCACGCCCAGACTGGCTTGGGTCATTCGCCCAGCCAGATATCGTATTGGTAGGTGCCTTGGCCGAGCTACACCCGTGATCTCGCGTAGAGTAGTCTGCTGTACACTTGAAGACAGCGTTCCTGCGGCTGTGCCTTCAACCACTGTAGATCTGTGCTCTGGAGACAGGTCCTTGTAGTCTTAGTCTAAGAAAAGGGCCTGCTGTATGCTTTTTGGGGCCGTGGTAAGAATGGTAAGAAAAAAGCGCCCCAAGACTTCACTCAGCCGACGGCTCACGTGCGATGCCCTTACACTTCCCCTGAGCGACGTGAATGTTTCGGGCGGTGGTCCGAGTAAAAACAGCACCACAGCTGGGACATTCTGCCTTCGCTACAACGCCCGATTTCTCTCGCTGGTGGCGTAGAAGATTGCTAAAGGTGGAGAATTCGCGGCCATTGCATCCGTGATCCCAACATTGGGGTTTTGGCCGAAAGCTGATGACACGAACTTGCTGTTGTTCCGGATCCGAAGAGGTTTGCACGGACTCGGGCGACGAGTAAACTGTCCCTGTAGGCATAAGACCTTGCGGATGTGGTATCGAGTTAGGGGTTTGTCTGCTTGATTATCATGTTAGGCGGGACCTTGATCAGTACTGAAATATTGGCAGACCACTTACGATAGGGAAGAGCTCGGTGCCATGTAGTAGTCCGGTTGGTTTGTAAGGTAGGACGATGGTCTGATGCCAGGTTAGCATCAAGATGCTCGAAGAAAGTGTAAGGTGGGCTTACGCCGGCGCGAATGCTGGATCTGGAATTGATGGCGGGCTGCCCGAGACGGAACTGCTGGGATACGAATATGGAATTGAGGTGCTGTGAAGGCCATGGAGTTAGTTTCCTTCTCGTCTTTTGATCTCTAAGCCTCAACTGTCGGATCAGTACCTTCGAGGTTGTTGCCGGCTTTGTGGCATCAGATATTGTGCCGAAGGAAGCCCTGGTTGATAATAGCTCTGGGAACCGGAAGGCTGGGGGGGATAGCCAGCTGGATAACTCGGATGTGGCGGAAGAACTTGTGCTGGGGGAAATGGATGCTGGTCCATTGATATGGAGGAGGGATGAAGAGGTTGAGGCAGCCGATTTTGCCAGCCATAGTCTGTCTCTCGTCAGTTCAAAACCTCGGGAGACCATGGAGTTGGTGCTCCGGCCTACTCTGTGAATTATGTGCCATGTTTGATGTCAAATAGGCTACTGATCCGGGATGCATCGATTGTGATGAGTCTCTCAAGGCTCTGGTAATAATCGGTGTTTAGCCATCGTTACCATTGGGGCTAAAGATGGGTCAAGTCAAATGCCCAACGTACCGTGGGGTGTCAGAACTGGCTTGTTCGGGGTTTCTGCTGCGCAGGAGTCCGGATGCAGGGAGTCCCCTCGGTTCACTGTCGGGCGGGATCAGCTCGGACGGGAATGGCGTTCTGGCGATAGCAGGAATGGTGTGCAACACGGGCAGATGGTGCTGTCCCTCGTTTGTGCTGATGCTCGATCTTAGGCTTCCGGGAGCGTTATACGCAGAGCCAGGGTGTGGGACACCAGCAGACCAAGCTGAAATGGCGGGTGTGGGAGCTGCTGTACTCTGAGGCGCTACGGACCTAGGCCGGCGAAAATCGTCCAGTTTGGCTAGATCGGACGGAGAAGATGGAGATGAGGATGACGGGAGATTCCAGCTGCGTGCGCAAGAGCCACTGAGCTGCCTGTGATAAAAATGCGGATATCCTGGTGAGTGGTGGATCCCCTTCGAGAGCATTGAAGATTTGCGTGGATCCGATGCTGAGAGGCAGAAAGACAAGAGAGACAGAAGGGGCAGAAGAGGCAAATAGATCATCAACACACAATGGGTGTTCACCGGAGAAGATCAAGTAGGGAAGAGAAAACAGCACTGGGAGTGAGAAAGTAAGATGATTCAGAGGCAGCCGCCGGGTGAGGGATAGTAGAAATGGAAGTGGAGGAGGAAGAAGGAATAGTCGACTGGAACAAGCCCGAAGCACTGATGATGATGATGATGATGATGGGACATACAGTTTGGTTGGAGGTGGGAAAGTAGTAGTCTTAGCACCCACGGACGGGAATCCTTCTCGGAATCAACAGCGCAATCTATATCCACCGAAAACGAGGTGACGGGACGGGTAGTAGTAAGACCGTCCAAAAACTACTGGGTAGTTGAGAGACAGACAGACAGGTATGTAGACAGGTAGACAAAGAGACAAAGGGACGAGATAGTGAATAGATAGATAGATCCTTAGAACAATAGATCAATAGACATCAGAGGGTAAAGATAAACTGATCTCTTGAGTCCATTCCATGGAACCGGTCAGACAAGAGTATTTAACGGTCTGCTGATGGAGCAGCAGCCAAATCAGTCCAGAATAAGCGTAACGAACGGGGGCCGAAGAAGACTCTTGGGAATTTGGGTATTAGGTAGGTATGGAGCTGAGTACTACTAGGTAGTTCGTCCCTGGTCTGGTCTTCACCAGTTTGACAGCTTATGGTGGGCGGGTATGCGTATGGGCGTACGGGTTGTATGTGGGTTGTATGTATTTTACTGTCGTCGAGCAATGGTTATGGAGAGTAATTACCACCGTCCTTCGTTCATCATGAATATTATGGTTGTTATTATTATCATAATTATTTCTGTCGGATTTTTCCTGACCCTGCGCGCAATTCGCGTGCTTCTTCTTAATAGAGCTACGGCACTTTTTTTTTGTTTTTTTGTTTTTTTGTTTTATTTTTTTTTTCTTGCGTCTGTGATTTTTTTTTCGATCAGTTTTTTTTGTGTTCCTTTTATTTAGATGTAATTCTTGTAATTTGGAGGTTTCGTCCTTATGATTTTCACCCGTCTAACAAGGTTGGGGAAATCAAAGTCCCCATTCATGATAGATGGTCGATCTATTTTTTCCACTGCCACGGGCTGGGATGAGACACGATCTCCTTCCTCCTGAATGAATCCAGAACCCAAAGAACCAACATTGACGGAGATGGATCTCGCGACCCCTGGTGGCTTTGCGTCTCCATCGGTCGCGCAGTTAGCGGCCATTGTTCGGCCGGGGCTGTGGGTGGGAAGGAGAGAAAGTAGTAGTAGATGAATGGATCATGGATCGGTGGATTGGTTGATGAATGGGGATAGAGAGAGAGACAAGAGAGGGGAATGATGGCATGAAAGGTAAGTTAGGTTTGAGGAGCCCACTTGGACAGTGCAGTGCGGCGCTTGACAGACCAACTCCCCCCTCTCCCGGAGACAATGAAATGAATTCAATTGCGCTCTCTCACGCACGGGTCTACCCACTTGATTGTTGAAATGTTCGTTTCATCATAGGCCCTTTGCCTCTGGTTGCCCCCCGGCTCTGACCTTCAATTCTGAGTCAGGAGGCTGGAAGAGGAATAGTCTCGAACCATCGCCACGTGAAGGTCGGAAGGTCCCAACGCACTCCGTAGCTCAATCGCATCAGCCTGATCCTTGGAAGCCACTTGCCGTTCCTCTGACTCCACCCGAGATGACGGGAGGGAGGGGAGGGTAAGGAGGGGAGAAACGAAGAGGGGAGGGGAGGGGGGGGGGGGGAAGGAAATCTAAGAAAGTCAAAGTCAAAACAGAAGAGACCAATTGACATCAGTCATCCGCTACATGTCTGATCTTCCATCCATACCAACAACACACTGGGCAAGTCAGGCTGGAGCTCGGACAGGGGTAGTCGATGCTCGGGGAAACCTCCCAGGCCGCGGGAGTCTGGCCTGGGAGCCTCCTCGAACGTCTAGAAACAAGCTCCTAGTAACTATAGTAGTCTATAGTGAACAGTCCGGCTGGAGCTATCTCTTCAACCCTTCGAGCCAATATCGAATCGCACTAGTGAAGAAATTGGCAGGATCGAATATCAATCGCGATACCGACGCAGCCCCCTTGGGAAAATAGATTGTTTGACATTCCCGCTAACAAGGGTTGCTTTCCTGTGATGTGCCGTCTCACTGGCTTCTAGAAATGTAGCAAATAATAGAACATGATTAAGTTATTACATCCTCCATAGTGTTGTTGGGAAAGGGGCCCAAGGGAATGGTGAGAAATGAGTACGAAGCAGAGAAGTATCTACGCAGTACCGTACTCTACCGTAGTACTGTACCTACCTAGTACTATCCTTAGTGCAGTCCGTATGTAGATGGTTAGTAACTAGTAGTCTGGCAGTGAAGGAAGAGGGGCAATTGGGTGAAGGTTCCAATTGTCTAACAACGCTTCGTTTTGCAATCCGAATGGGTTTTTGGGGGCCGGAACCGCTCAGCAGGATAACCCAATTCCCCGATTTGGCCATCCCAGGTGGGGCTTTGCAGCGTCAAACTGGGGCATCCCAAGGGCAGGTACGGAGACTAGGTAGAGTCTACAAGGCTAGTCAGTAGTCACCCACCGCTGGTGAGTGGGTTTTTTTTCGCAAGCAGCGAACGATAACGCCGCCTGACATTTCCAACGTGGAGCACGCGCGATCGTCATGATAACACAAAAAGGCATGGCATGGCCCTGGTTAGATCCAAAAAAACCACATGGCGATAAGCAATGAGCGGTTAAAATCCATCCTTTCCGGGGGTCGGGCTATGCATGGATGGTAGTTTAGGCCGACTGGATAGCCCAGGAGTCAGGACTCAGGACTCAGGACAGATGAAAAACCGCAAGGGGGATCCATACCTCGACTTAACCCGGCCGGTAGTCAATTGGCTCCTTCGATCGATCAATGTTTCATCGACTTGTGCCTGCTTGCCTCAGGGCTTGTTGTACGAGTGTACTCCGTAGTCCGTACTCCGTACCTTTCCATGAATCCAAAAGCTATACTAGAAGTATAATAGAGTTGTCCCCGCTCACTATGCTCACATCACCCACGGAAACACTTCATCTATCGATCACTTATTGATCAATGTTATTGTACTGGTAGTGAGTAGTGCAGTCCTCGGGTTGGTTGCCTCAGATCTCAGACTCAGCACTCTTTCTTTCCTTCTTTTCTTCCTTCTCACTTTACTTTTTCTTCCATTCCCTTTTTTTTAATTTTCTTTTTTCCATTTCTTGCTGCTTCGGCCGGTTTTTGGCCCCCACGACATTAGCGGCCGCCAGCCACGCTACGGAACTCGACTCTTGCCAGATTTGGGACCGCCCTTGGGGTTTCGTTCGGTCGTTTCTTTTTCTCCCTTCATCAATCGATTGATTTAGCATGGATTTTCCAACCAAGGGTCTTCTTGGTCCTTTTTTTTCTGGATTGTTCTTGAGCTTGAAGACATCACATCATGACAAGGCTCTTCCCCCCCCCCCCCCCCCACCTTCCTTCTAGCCCAATACGCATAGTCCGCACGCCAGACCAGAAGTCCACTTTTCGGTGATTTTCGACACGGTTGTCGGGAAGATACTGTACTGTACGGCGCTGACAGGCTAAGGCAGCAGCTACAGCAGCTACCTAGTAGTTTCATCGCACATCGTACGGAGTATGTGCGTATTATTGCTCGGACTCTGCTTCAAGCTCTGCTCTAGCTTGTCCGCTAAGATACATCCATGCAGTACTCGTGTACTTCTAGAATTCCCCAAAGCTGACCGAAAGCTGTCGCGCGTGGAGGATCGTCCGATTTCACGACAAGTGACGACACATGGGCCTCGCAGGCTCGCATACCCTGCACTTTGTCCACGAGGGGGTGATCTCGCAACCGTTGGAGGCTTTCGCTTCCGCATCACTTTCTTCTCCCCTCTCTACGATGACGCCTGAGGCGGAGAAAAAGCCTGGTGTTCCTTTGGCGGAGCTGTCACATCCGAAGGATTCCCGGATTCATGAATCATGACATCGTTCTGCCTTGGACAGTGACCGCAGTACGGACTTCGTACTATTCGCAGAAAGTGCTCGCAAAGTATACCCAGTACGGAGTTCGGAGTATAGGTGGTGAGGTAAGGCAGGTAGGTAGTAGGTACCAGGTAGGTACTACCTACCTAGTAGGTAGTCTAATTGACCAGATTGGGAACGCCTCAGGCGAGCGACTACGGACGGACGGTCAGAGCCGCCGACGGGTGGGGAGGGGAGCAGCCTGGAGAACAGATGAAAAATGATTGAAGATGGAAATGATCCATTATGACTGATCCATGATCGCATCCACCATTACCAATCAGGAAATGATACCATCTCCGGAGCATGGCAAGGGCCCGATGGTCCGATCCCGTGATTCGTGCGTGATTGTGTGGGAGGTTGTTGACCGCCACGGCAATGATCGGCCAGGATCAAGAACCTCCAAAACACGCCTGCTGTCAACAGGCCCGGGGAGGCCAGGACGGTCCGTAATCGAGGCGAAGAACTGGAACCACACCTAACTTCCTAACTTACCCACCATCCTCGTATTCCAATCGGAACCAACATCCCCTCCCCTCTCTTCAACAATTAATTCAAATGACGATGACAATAATAATAATCTCTCTTCGCACCCCTTGCACTGCCTGCGATCCACCCTTCCGCCCGCATTTGGGCCGAAGTGTTGAATAGTTGAGACGAGATAGACGCTTAGCGAGCGCAAAGTACGGAATTGAGAGACATCCCCAAATTAAATGGCCCCTCTATCGTGCCGTTCCAGAGCGACATGTCACGTGGTGGTGATTGACAATCAGGCTGAGGAGGATGAGGAGGATTGACTGATCTTGATTGTTGCGACCAATTTTGTCCGTTTCTACCTATACGTACCCCTTTTCGTTTACGAAGAGCGCCTAGTTGCGACTGAGCTGAACTCCACCAACTAGGGGTCATGCCAATGATGTTGTCTGAATGTCGGGTGTTTGTCGTGCGGTTTGGTGTGTGTGGTTTGGTTGGCACTTGTGACTTTACAATTTGACCGAGAAACATTGACTTTGGAAGGAACTGAATGGGGCCGTTTCTCGGCGGCATCCATCCGAAGCGCTGTGCATCTTGGACAGGCGTTTCCACGTTTCCAGTTTCCACCGTGTCTGATTGCCTCGTGGTGGGTGGTGCGTCGCTGTGCACAGTCCAGCGCTTCGGCAATCCTTAGGCACCAAGGCGTCTCGGCTGGTGCACGCGCTTGTCTGAGTCGCTCCTCTCCCCGTCTCTTGCTGGCACGCCCGCAAGGCCCAAGAGGCCCAAGAGGCCCAAGAGCCAACCAACAACAGGTTTGAGGGTTCACGGAGGATTGGGTGCCTAGTAGTACCGTTACAGACTCTCCGACGGCACAAAGAACGAACCTGCGCGACACCCGACTAGAATGCTACTCGACGGCGCGACTAGTCCGGGATCTGTCTGTCGATCGACCTTAAAGCCCATTCTCCACGTGCTGTGGCACTTTTAATGATCCTGCCTAGGATGCCGCATGCGGCCGAAATGAGTGCCGTCGTGGTGGGTAGTAGCCGTCATGCCACATGGTTGTACACCCTGGGTAGTGCACAGTACTACTACGTATGTAGCATGTACTAGTAGGGTTACAAGGGGGGTGGAGGGGGGTGGAGGGGGGGGAGTAGGGGGTTTGGTTGGCTTGAGCTGGGATAGTCGGGTTGGGAGGTAAGCAAGTCATCATCAACAGCAGCAACAACAACAACAACAACAACAATATCATCATCACCATGAACTGTCATCACCAACCATGGCATGATGCTGCCCTGCTGCTTTCTGGATTGGGTGAAATTAAAGGCCAACCTCCTTGTTGCCCTCGTGGGGTTTTAACTTTCCATCCCGGGTCCCTGATTTAGAATGTTTCTCTGAGAGCCATCGGTTCCGAGCTGTTCGGAAATTCGAAATCCATCTAATCTCCAAAGCCACTGGACAGCTGCCTCGATACTCTGGTTTTCCTTTCGGTCTGTTTTCTCCACCGCTATCTATCCAACTAGGCGCCAGGATTGAGCGCTCAAGCTGAGCCGAAACCAATAAACCTTCGACGAGCCTATCCGCTACCATAACGAGCTCCCCTCGCCATCTTCGTCTAAGCGCCTGTTATTGTCTGCCTGCTAGCAGCTGAACCAACCACCTGGCAATCATTCCAAAATCCCCTATACGACCAGTCCTATCAGTGAATCCGGCGCCAGTCCCATATTATTCCATTTGTGTGGACGCCACGCGTGGGACGCCAACCCCACTCAGGGGAGAGACTGAGGAGCGCCAGCCGCCAAGCACAGGTTAGTGTCAATAGCCGGCATGTGGCCATGTGCCAGATGGGCTGTCTGTCAGCCACTTTGGATTAATTTGATCCAGTGACAATCGATTGTTCAGGATTAACGAAGACATGACGCAGTCGCTGGCTGATTAGCTAGCTGGGCTACCTAAATACTAGCCTACTGATTTTTTTGGTGTCTCGACCAAACGAACATGGTCCAAGCCTAGCTGCACCTTCCGGCTTTCCATCCCCGGGGGCACAGCACTGGATATTCTAGCCAGGTTATCTATAATTAACCCAAACCCACTGATGTATTTGATGTGGTAATTATGTAACATCAGCGGGTGTTACTCAAGTAAATTAGATCTATCGGAAAAATGCAAGAGGAAAAAAGCTTGGGTGACTATACCCGGTCGGGAAGAGGCGATGATTGTCGACTAGGTACGGAGTACCTACGGTGATGCAGATGCAGGTTCAAAACTGGCTGGTCGGTCGTTGATCTTCCCCGATCTGGTTCGGAGTTCAGACAGAGCCGCCCGTTTTGTCGCCTCGTTCGGAGGGAGGAAGAGCAATTTAAGCATGGTCATAGTGGGGGGGGGATGGGAATTAAGGGAGGGAGGGACGGGTATAGGTGGGGGGTTTAGTTCTACTATGTGTACATGTAGTATGTACTGTACTTCTGTGCGCGGGTAGAAACCCTAGCTATCAGCCAGCTATCATGGATGCATTGTTGTACAGTACTGTAGATCTGTTTGTACATAGTACTGTACAATGTACAACGCGGTGAGTAGCAATTGGAGGATGGGTCTGTTGTGACACGGATAGTTTATGCGAGTGAAGCTAAGCTGCACGGCTGGGCTGTAGTCATCGGCGGGAGCTCTAAAGGGTTTTACAGTTCTCCTTCGCTCCTCCTTCCCCGGAGGTTCCCCAACTTGTCGACTATCCCCATCCCCATCCCCCAGTCTCTGTATTCGTTCCAGCGGCTGCTCTTCATGTGGCTGTCGCTGGCGGACTGGAGATGCTCCAGTATGTATGACTCGCCGCCTCGCAAGCTTGCGCTCAGCTCACACCCTGCTCGCTCGTCCAGTCTCCTTGTTCGAATCCGGTACCGCCCCGCCGCCCGACTGCTGATGATGGCCGCCCAAGTCCGGCGGCAGCTTACGACAACTGCACCCCCATCACCATACAAGCGTACAGCAGCAGCACACGATGAGACCCTTTTTCGGTTCACCCGCGGCCGATTCCTTACCGACGAAGCCTATGAACTGGCCAAGAGACACATTCGTTTCAACGTGGATGAACTCGCCCGCTTAGCCGTCCAGGCCGCAGAGGCTGCAAATAAGGGGCCGCGGACGTGTATCGCCATTGAAAAACTGGCCGACGGGATGCACAGCAAGGCTATACGCTTCACCATGGACAATGGGTTCCAAGCAGTGGGCAAAGTTCCGACTCCGAATGCTGGGCTTCCGCGCTTAACCACTGCCTCGGAAGTCGCGACTATGGACTTCGTAGGCCATATCCTCCCTTCTTTGTCGTGGAAGTTCACGGAAGTTGGTAACATCGGATAGATGCGCAACGTCCTCGGTACGCCAGTTCCCAGAGTTCTCTCGTGGAGTTCTTCGGCCGACAATCCGGTGGCGGCGGAGTACATCCTCATGGAGAATGCACGCGGCGTGCCACTGAGTAGCCTGTGGGACAAACTGGGTGTGCGGGTTAAGTTCAAGGTGCTTGAAAAAGTCGCCGCCTACCAGCAGCGCTGGTCCCAGGTTCGCTTTACGCAGTATGGGAGTCTATACTACCGAGGGGACCTCGACCGGTCAAGTTCCAGTCCCGGCCTCCGGTACACGGACAAAGATGGGAATTATGCTGTTGATGAGAGGTTCGCTGTGGGGCCTTCGGTGAGTCGGCAAAATGTCGATGACGGCAGGGCAGACTTGGGTTTTGACCGAGGCCCCTGGGATACCGTTGACGCTTATGAGCGGGCAACGGGAGAGCGCGAAGCTTATTGTACCAGGAGTATGGAGCAACTGCCACGATCGCCCATTGCGATCCACTATTCGGGGACGTACCAGCCGTCGCGCGAGACCAAGCTTTTCGCGATCGAGAGCTTCCTCAAAGTGGTAGATCTCTTACTACCCGGGGACGAGGACATATCAGCGTCCTGCATCTGGCATGATGACCTGCATGTCGAGAATGTCTTTGTCAATCCAGAGGATCCATCGGAGATCTACGCCTTCATTGACTGGCAATCTACAGAACTCGCCCCGCTATACCATCACACCATCGAGCCGTATATCCTAGACTACCATGGCCCACCATTCGAAGGCCTCCTCGACCGACCGAAGCTCGCCGACGTCAAAGCGCTGTTCCAGGACGAACACGACCAAGCAGCCGCAACCCGCAAAGCGGAGACCTTATTCACTAGCATGTCTCTGCTCGCCCTTTACAGATATCTCCTGCACAAAACGATGCCCCGGTTGTTCAAGGCTCTCGAGTTCCGGCAGACCGACTGCTTCGACCTACTTCTGTTCGCACGGAACCTTCTTGTCGACGGCGAGGCTACCTACCTCGGACCCCTAGCCAAGCAGCAAGAGGAAAATTGGGCTGGTGTCTCGAGGATCTTGGGGACTGGAACCAAGGCACCGCTTACGTTCTCGGACGATGTGCTCCAAAAGATCAAATGTGATGGCGCGGGCGCTTCGGCAGCAATGGCGCTGATGGGAGACGTGCAGCGTATGATCGGCAGCCAGTACTTCCAAGCCCGGGGATTGGTGAGCCATGCGCAATTCGCGGAGCTGGAACGAATTCTCCCCAAGGCGAGAGATGACTTTGTGCGGGCGCATGCGCGCAATGCGAAAGAAGAGCGGGAGCTCACTCGCGCGTGGCCGTTCGATATACCCGGATCGCGGTGCGATTATCTGGGGCTTGAACGCACCAGAGCCTAAGGGGTATCTCCATTATGCTATACAGGTGATACTCGGCTTCTCATGTGGTCGCGGCCCTCGTTTGCGGGGGAGCAATACCCTAGGTTCGAAAGCAGGTCCGCGGCCGTAGAACCGGTCCACAAGCTGATAGAACAACGGGTACTGCCAATGGCTTTCATATAACAAGACCCCCAAGTCCCAAGTGTCAGCACTGTAGCTTCAACTCAACCCGGAGAGACAGAGTTTGGGGGACCGATATCGTCTGGCTGGATGGGGTGGATGCTCGGGCAGTCATTTCGGGGAGGTAGATCGATCTTCCGATTCGTGCAGCTGCTTTCGTGGAGAGGGTTTCGTCTCGGGTTGTGCGACTGAAATCAGGATTGATGGTGTGCGCAGGGCCCAGGAGGCTCCTTTTACACGTGGGTGTTTAAGTTGCATGCTCGTCATTGAGATTCTTGCGTCGAAGGGATTCTGCTCATCCCAGAAAGATGAAGCTATTTAAGCCGTGGAGTTTGTTAGTGGAAGTATATCTGAAAAGGGATCATAGTAAATGAGTCGCTTAGCTAGCACTACTCAGCTACTGCTCACACAGGCCACCTACGCTGACAAGACGTATTTATGGAGACTGCAGTGCAGTACTGTACACATAGACTCCGTAAGGAAGTCGGATGCAATGACCGGATGTATAAACAGTGTAGAGCTTTGAGTACATTAGACATAACCTTGTCAACCACCATCTCATCCAAACTCATTCGATCTCCTACAAAACGTCCGATGACAACTGAACTGAACTCTCAGCACGGTATCTAAATCTATATACAGATGTCAAAATTCCAAATCTAAATCCAAGGACAGTATCCCCACGCCACATCCTCCAGGCAAATATACAGTAAGTCACTGCACAGTCCAGGCGTCCTTCACTCTTCACTTCTCAAAGCTCACCACCTTCCCCATCCCTTGTGTCCGTGACCCTTCACCCCCTGATCCGCCCAGTCCACCCCCCGATCCGCCAAATCCTCCCCGAAATCAGAAACAACATCCACAGTCCTCACCACCGAAACCCCCTGCTCCAATTCCCGCTCCAATTCCCGCTCCAATTCCCGCTCCCGCTCCCGCTCCCGCTCCCGGGAACCCACAACCTCCACACTAGCCGAATAACTCCCACCCCCGACACGGAACCCATCGAAGAACACCGGGGTCTCAATCACCGGCCGCGTCAGATGGATACTCACCGTACTCTTCGGGCAGTGCCGCGCCGCTGCACCCTGCCCCCCGGCCCGCGCATGAACGATAGACAAACACCACGAACACGCCCGGCTGAAGAGCGGGTAGAGCGGGGGCATGCAGGCGCAGAGGATGGAGGCGCTGGCCTCGGCGCTGGCGAGGAGGGCGGTGGTGCGGGATTTGTCTGGTGGTTGTTGAGGTGGTTAGAGCAGGGCAGGCAGGACAGGGCAGGACAGGGTAGACTAGGGCAAGGCAACGCACGCGATAAATCCCCCCGGCCTCGCGTCAAGATCTCAATCACGGTGAGAAGCTGGGCGATGCTGATCATGACCACCCTGCAGCAGTTTCCAATCAGCACTTCCCCAAGGTACGTAACCATGTCCACATCAAGAAAACGCAAACGCAAGGGAAAGGGGAACGGAAGCATACACCAACCCCAATCCGAACAGCAGGAACAACCCCGCCTTCACCCTGCGCCGCAGCGTCAGCGTCGGGACCACGACCAGCGGGATGGCCAGCACGACCACGTGCGTCGCGATCTGGACGGCGCCGTTGCTCAGCCACACCGCGTTTTTCGGCAGGCATCGAGGCGGAGGGGTGGTGTTTGACCAGGTCCAGAAGTCGCGCACGGGCAGGCAGAAGAGGATGGCGCTGAGGACCATCCATGTCCCTGCTGCGCACATGAGGGCGGCAAGGCTGTAGCTTGCGAGGAGGACGCGGCGGAGTCGGAAGAGCCGCGTGTACAGGGCCAGGGCGGAGAGTTTGCTGGTTAGGAGGGTGAGGTGGTAGAAGGGTAGGGAGAGGTATTGTGCCTTTTTGGTTTTGTTAGTGATGAGGGACAAGGGTGATGGGGGGAGGGGATGCTGGGGACGGACTTTGAGTTGGGTTTGAAGGGCGGAGGCGGGGAGGGTTTCGCTGGGGTGGCCGAGGCCGTGTTGGATTTCTGGCGGGGATGTTAGCTTGGGGTTGGGGATGTTGAGGTTCTTGGGTTGACGGTTGACGTTGACGGTTGACAGGGGAGGTGAGGGACTTGCCTACGACTCTGCAGGAGAAGAGGACAAGGTTGGCGGCCTGTAGTAGGTAGTGGTCAGTCAGTGATTGTTCTCCTGAAGGAAGTATACAGCACTTGAGCTGCATTCCACACTTATACTTGCCAAAGCCACCACAATCAGCAGATCATCCCACCCCGCACTCCGCAGACGCTGCCGAGTCCACAAGCGCAGAATCACCGCGATGGTCGCTAGTCCGGTGAACGAGACCAGGAAGGCCAGCACTTGCATGGTGCATACTTGGTCAAGAGAGCAGAGTATGTTGCGTGTCCGGCAGTCTGTCTCTATATCAATCGAACCCTCGCATCCTCAAATCTGATGTGAGTCTAGACTGCAAAGTCAGACCGAGTAGACCCGAGCCCTCCCCGACGCCATGGTCAACGGTTCACAACGATTCGATCGGTTCGATCGATATTCATACTTTGGATCGGGGATGCGGGAGCATCTCTGCGTTCCATGGGTTGTCCGCAGTTCGCATCCCGCACTCCAATGAGATGCTACACAAGTGCAATGTGAACGGTTGTCAGATGCAAGCTAGACTCATTCGAGTAATCTGCCAGAAAAATGGGAGAAGTCATGATTTCATGAGATACTCCCCCCGATGCATGCTTCCGAAAGGGTGGCGAAGACAATGCCATAGAACTGTACAGTACGTTGTTCCACCGACCCTTGACATTCATGCTATGCAGAGATTGTCAGCCATGACCTCGGTTGTGTGGGGTTGTTGTTCAGATAAGCTTCCCATGGAATACATTTGCTGCCCCTAATGGCTCGGAGAAGACCGATGCCCCGGGAACACTCGGTCGAATACACACTACGATCTGGCTGGCATACGTCCTGCTCGTGTATTTCAATAAGGTACACACATCACGGCTGCTCACGCTCCCGCAAGGATATAAATTGCCGCGTGGTGAGGCCAGACCAATCACTTCAGCTCGTCGTGCACCTGCACCCGCCATGACCCCACGGCCGGCGTAGCATACTGCCCCCGGACGCTCGTCGCGCTACACGTCGCCGGGGCCGGCTCTGCCGCGGACGCGCCCCACGACGGGGGCACGGCACCGCTGCGTCTCGCCGTCGCCGTCAGGAACGCAGCAAACGACCACGTCAGATCGACCGCCGAGACCGGCTGCCCCGTGGTGCGGTCGAACTGCTCCGCCAACCCGCCATCCGCCGGGGTATACTGCTGGACCACCGCGACAAAGCCGTCCGCATACCGCCTCACGGCATCGCTGATCGCCGCGTATTCATCCGAGGCGCGTGGGTAGGACCCTGGGACAATGTCGCGGATGAGGTCCGCGAAGAAAGGCGCAGACACTGCCGTCACCTCGATGACGCCCTGTCGGTCCCACTGGTACAAGGCATCGTACAATTGCTCGGCCGCGGCAAGGGTCGTGAGGTACCTAGCTTCTCATTAATGATAAGACGGGGAAACACTCAGCACGACACACACACACCATGGATGGCCCCCCTGATAGATATCCTCAGCGTAGCGCCCCACCGCCGCCGCCGTGCCAGCGCCACGGCCCTGGTTCACCTTGTAAAGCGACCGGAACGAGTCCACCACATGCTTATGATTCGACAGCGCGCGGGCGGAGCACGGTTGGAAGGTCCCGCCACCACTTTCAGCAAGACATGAAGCCTCCGGGTCGAAGGTGTGGACGGCAGCAAGGATCGAATTCGCATCGAGCCCCGAGCGCCCGCTCGTGGGGACATTGGAAAGGACCGCCGCCGCGGCGCCGTCCCAATACTGCTGGAGATGGCACAGGATCTGCGGCGCGACCGCGGCGCAGCCGGCGCACGTCTCGCCCACCGCCTCGGCGAACGCCTGGCCCTCGACGAGCGCCTTGTGCTGGACGGCGGTGGTGAAGAACGAGGACCCCCGGACCTCCTCCCAGAGGTCGAAGGTGGTCTCGTTCCAGTACTGGGCCACGTAGGCCAGGTCGTTGCGAACGATGGGCCAGACGTTGGCTCGCGCGAGGGCGGTCTGGCCGTGGGCGACGAGGTGGTTCCCGTAGGCGATGAGGGCCGAGGCGCGCAGCGCGGGCCCGTCGCGCTGCGGCCGCCCCCACGCTTCCGTGAACTCGGTCATGTTCACGTGGAATTTGGGCTCGCCCAGGCCGGCGCCGTCGGCCAGGGAGCCGGACGGGTTGGAGATGGTTTGCTGGGTGGCTTGCGAGGTGACGAATTGCTGGAGGATGCGCTCGATGGAGGTCTTGCCTCCGTCGTCGGGCAGGTCGGTCAGATGGGCGCTGATGGCGGGGATGGTCAGCCCCGCATCCCGGGTCCAGGTGTAGAAATCTGCCAAGAGTCGTTAGCTTGTTCGTATGTGTGCCAAAGGAATGGGAATCCGGCTTACAGTCGGGGTCGGATTTGGAGGGCGAGGCGACCACAATGCCCGGATAGGCGCCCTGGGCCAGTGCTCCATCCGCTCCGATGTTATTGAGGATTCCCTGCCAGGCGATCGGGGTTTCTTTTTCGATGAATTCAGCGAGGGTGGTCGCATCGAATGTTCCGGGATTTGAAGTTGCAAGGGCTGTGTCGAGGATAACGTTTAGTAGAAATAAGTGCTTGGACCACATGTTGGATGATAATGCCCTCCTTGAATGGGTGTGAGTGAGCGAAGTTGGAAAGTCGCGGGGAGTGGACGGGGACAAGGCGACCTTTTGTGGTTGTCTTTCCCTCTTCCCCCCCCCCCCCCCCCCCCCCCCCCGCATAATGCAGGGCTGATGGGCGGTTACACTGCATGCAGCGCATTATGCTCTTTGTCCTACCTAAAAATAATGAATAAGTCTACACTATAACCGCACATAACACAATCGTGAAAATTGGAAATCGTAATTCATAACCCAGGCTGGTACAGTGTACTACCTGATAAATGCTATGTATGAAGAACTGAAGCTGCAGCGCATCAATCCACCAGTGGACGTGACACCGCAGGTAATTTGCACCCTACCACCTCCCTGATGAGACGAGGACAGAGGGCTAGACTGCCAGATCTGCTCAAACAGAAGCGCCTTGGGTCTCCCCCGCCGCCTCCTCCTCCTCCTGCAGTATCCGAGCCTCGACCGCCCGTCGAAGGTCCCGATCGGCCTCGCTGGAATTGTCCTTGAAGATGTGGTCCATCTGCTCGAGGGTGCACCCTTTCGTCTCGGGCACGAAGAAAAAGGTCCACAGGAAGGTGAGGACACAGAAGACGGCGAAGAAGACGTAGGCACCGTAGCCGGTGTCTTGGATCAGGGGTGGAGTGATCAGGCCCTGTCGGGATACGTTAATGGAGGTGAATCACCAACCGAGCTGCTTCACTTACGATAATGAAGTTATTGAGCCAGTTGGAGCAGGTGGAGAGGGCCACTCCCTTGGCGCGGAGCGAAGAGGGGAAGATTTCTATGGGTTGTTGTTAGTATCTTTCCTTTCTGCGGGTCGAGCAATAGGGGTTTCTGCTTACCGGACGGCATAGCCCAGCCAACAGGACCAATTGATCCCCCAAAGGCAATCATGTACACGAAAAGAAGAGCCACGCTGGCCCAGCCGGGGCCCCGGTGAGCAGGCCAGTTGTCCGAATAGAGGCCGACCAGGACGGAGATGATGATGTGGCAGAGAGCCATGATGGCGGCGCCCCAGAGAAGCAACGGGCGACGGCCGATGCTGTCCATCGTCCAGATTGTCGTGGCCACACCGACCAGCTGCAGGACGTTGAGGATTCCGGACATGAGAAGTTGCATGTCGTAGTCGAGACCCATCGTTTCGAATAGGGTCGGAGAGTAGTAGATGAGGGCATTGATTCCCACGAACTGTTATCCTGTTAGACCTGGAAACAGTCTTGAACAAAGAGCTAGAGTAAGGAGCATACCTGCTGGAAGAACATGAGCATGACGCCCACATGGGTTCGCCGCCAACACCCGCTCTTGAAACAATCGGCCCAGCCGGCCATCTCCAACAGCAGCGAGCTCTTGAGTCCACCACCCTGGAGATTGGGATGCTTCTGCGCGTTGATCTCCTGGTGAAAGCGTACTTCGGCCTTGATATCCATAAACTCCTGTCGCACACGCTTGTCCGTCGCAGGCAGTTGCCGCAGTCGCGACAGACTCTGTAGGGCTTCCTCCTCTCTTCCCTTGGAGGCCAGCCACCGCGGCGAGAAAGGCAAGACAATGACCCCAGCCACCAAGATGATAGCAGGGGCCATCTGAAGCAGGAACGGCAGGCGCCAGGCCCATTCGCCGGCCATGTATCGCGTGCCATACGTGATCCAGTACGCGATGACAATCCCCAGCACAATGAAGAACTCCTCCAGCACTAAGAGGGTACCGCGACACTCGGGGGGACCTATGCGCAGCAACACACATTAGCATCGAGAAGGCCAGTCCGCCTCCAATAGTGGATACATACTAATCTCCGAGATGTACAATGGGGCCACCATGGACAACATGCCGATCCCCAGACCACCAATGAACCGGGCAACTGTCAGCATGGCATAGTCCATCGCCGCCGTCTGCAGGATAGAACCGATCAAGAAGATGATCACTGCCACGATGATGGAGTAGCGTCGCGAAATCTTATCCGCGATCCAGCCCTGGTTCAATGCGCCGATGAGGGCTCCCAACTCAATCATTGCGGTCATGAGCCCTTTCCAGAACCCGGAGCCGGAGTGTCCCTCGGCTACCTCGGGGAAGCGCTTCAGGAATTGCTCCATGACTAGGATCACGGAGACCACACCCTGGTCATAGCCGAAGAGCAGACCTCCCAGGGTTGAGCATCCGGCACACAGGAGCACAAAGGGATTGGCGATGAGACCCCGGATCCCGGGGGGGCCGTAGGGCTCCCGGCCGTCGACGATATCTTCGGCATGATGGGTGACCCCTTGGATGGAGGACCGACCATCTGCAATGAGGTCTTTTGTGGGCGGATCAGATTTGGTGGCCATTGCCACAGATGTGAAGGATGAACAAAGGGGGAAGGAGGAGGAGAGAAGTGCTTGGGGAGTGATCCCGAGTGGGACGGAGAGAGGAAAAGCAAGGAGATCTGATGCAGATGATCGATGTTACGAAAGAGGTCCACATGTCTACAGAGAGAGGTTACAGTGGTTACTTATAGTCATACAGAATCCGGGGGCAGTGAATCTCGTTGAAGCTTGGAACCAGTCGGAGGCAGCCAAAAGCCTTGGGTAACGGCGGGCGGACCGGTACGACCTGATTCGCCTAGGCCCAGATTGTTGGCCCCGGATGGTTCCAGCGCCATGAGGCAGAAGAGAGGAGAAGAAAATAACCCTAAATGCGGTGATCTGCAGGGTGGATTGTCGAATAGAAGAGGGGGGGATGCAGGTGGGCCGGGGATAGAGCATCTCTCCTTTCGAAGCCAAGCGGCCAAGCGGCGAATCCCATCGAAGAGAGCGGACTGGGAATGGAACAAGATCGAATTGCCAGGTTGGTGTCTTATCAGATATCAGACTCTTTGTCCCAACAACAGAACAGAAAAGAATCTGAGAATTGAATCAGACCACCCGCTAGCACCTGTAGTCAATATTGTGCGATCTTCCTTGATTGTGTGTGCTTGTCGTCGCAATGCAGCACGTGCCGTCGTCACTGTAACAGCCGAATCCGGACATGCAAACGGAATCAGACTTGGCTTCAGTCCAGGTCGGGGAAGTTCCGTGGGGGTTGTACGAGCAAACAGAGTTGTTTAGCCCCCCCTTCTCAGACTGCAGGCTGATCAGTCTGATTCCTCCGACCTGGTCGATATCTATGGGTCACGGGTAGGGAGGGTGACCGTGTCATCACTTCTTCAGCCGTGGAGATGACAGGTGCATCTCTCAACGCACGAGAAAGAAAGTAGAAAATGATGACTGCATCTTCCAATCACGCGCTGGCTAGAGTTGCCCCAATCGGGGGGGTTGCGAATGACCGGGGATAACTTATGGGGGGGGAGGTGGATGAGACAGTCGGCAACGGAAATGGGTAGAGACGGAGAGCTGACGATAGCCGGAGGGGTTGAGGGAGAGAGACATTTTGGGATATGCTGTGCTGTAAGTGCTTGCCTGCCTGCCTGCCTGCCTGCCTGGCAAACCGTTCGATCCCGTGATGAAGAGGATGACTTTGAGCGGTGTTGGTGTTTTGGTGCGGTCGTTGGGCTGCTGCTGCTGCTGCTGCTGCTTCCTCATCTCTGCTGCCCACCGCCAGAGCGGGCAGCTGCTCTCTCTCTCTCCCCCTCTTTTCCTTTCCTTTCCTCTTTTTCCATCTATTCATGAAAGTATTCTTTGCTTCCCCGGCTCCCTCTATCCACCTTCGTCTACTATTTCCACTTTTACCCATCGATCCCCCACGGGGTAAACTGTGGCTAATTCAGTTCCTGGTCTACCAAAGTCTCCTTGACTGAGATTCCCCACCATCGGCTCAAGTCAAACGCCGACCGGCCAAACCTGACCTGATCGGTCGATCCTCCCCCGCAACCCAAACATTCCGCGACTCTCCCCTGCGCCGACTTTCCCTCCATCTTCCTCAACCCTCCTCCAACTCGGTATCTTGCACAGAAGACTGGACCTTTGTACTCGCCCGATCTCTGACTAGCTGCAGAGTCATCTTGTCTCTCAACGCATTTCAGCGACCTCATACCGACCATCAACCGGCTGAAAGACACGGGGGAAATAAGCACAGAAAAAGAAATCCACCACCGCTACAACGGATTCCACTTTCCGGCTGCGACGTCATTCCTCTTTCTCCCCCAGCTTCACCCAACCTACCTTGCAATCTTCCCCGCATTCAGCCGGCCAATCGAGCTGAAGCAGATCGCCATTATGGCTTCGTTCATGGAGGACCTCTGGTCCAGCATTTTCACTCCGGGACCCACCCCCACGCTCCTTGTCGCAACCAACGTCACCTTTGCAGCTCTGCAGGCCTTGCTCCTGTCTCTCCTCCTGGCTACCTACAGCATCCACTTTCTGGTTCTATCCTTTCTGTCCGGCGCTCTCTGGTGGTCCATCAACTGGTTTGCGCGGGAAGTAAGGCAGTTTCAAGCAGAGCAGGCGGAGAAACAGAAGCAAAAGGATAAGGAACAGGACGAGAGCTCCGAGGACAAGCCCGACAGCAGCATCCGCAAGACTCCTGGTGCTATTGACGCCACCGATAGTGATACGGAGACTGAACAAATCGCAGGGCACAAGGACCCAGCACCAGTGCCCACTTCCGCTTCGCGTTCCACCACTGCCTCGGCCACCCTCCAGCTCCCCGAGGCGCAAGGCGAAGTCCGGAAGCGTCTCAGCGTCAGCGGCGAGAGCTCGGGCTACCAGAGTACCGATAGCGAATGGGAGAAGGTGGACGATAACCAGGCGGCCTAGATCCGCAACAGGTTTGCGGTCTCGCAGGTGCAGCTACATTTCGGGGCCCAGACCCGGCTCGAATTGCTTTTTGGTTACACCTTCTACCCCTCGGAACAGACTCCAATACATCTGTCTCGTGGGCGGGTCAGATACATATGTTCAATATTTGAGTGGCCTTGTCTTTTCCTCGCACCGACGAGATACCCGTTAGAGAACATGCCTTGCCGGTAGACTGATGATTTGCCAATGTATCATCATGTTAGACTTATTCCGTGCATTAGAACAGCCCATGGACCATAGTAGTGGTCTCTCATCGCACTAGCATTCAACATACTGGCGGGAAAGTGATAAGCCCCCAGTAGTTCAAATATCGGAGAAGCTCTTAGCCAGAGTAAAGCGGCTGTAGGCCGTGTTTCCATGCTGCACAGCAAGTACGAAATCCCCGCTTGACGATATTCTAGGAATACCACTGTCCGAGAGTAATCCCGTTTGGCTCGCTAGTGCCTTTCACTCGTTGATCTGACACGGTGACCGCGTTCGATACCTCGCACTCCGGGTTCTATATTTTTCTTCGAAGCTCAAGTACCATGAAAGCAAAAGCTCCCTTTGCTACCTTTGCAACACAATATAGGCTCAAGCTGTAATGCTGTAGACTCCAGTGCGCTGTAGCGACTAGATTTATCCCTTTTGCTGAATCATGCACTTCTAGTGAACTTAGTTCTGTGCTCTGGCTGTGCCTCAGCTAGCAGCTACCTTATAATTTATTCTGTCTTGCTTGGGGATTTCCACATTGGGAAATTCCTTATCGATAAGCCAGCTGACTCAGCCGACCATCTCCAAACAATCAACACCGTCAATTCCAGCAATCTGCACTCCTTCGATCACTGCAACATCCACAACAACGGGTTCCCTATACTATAATGCCGCCTCAATGAAGGCGCGCAGCGACCACAACTCACATCCAGCTCTACTATGATCTCCCTTGACTGATCCCTCACCATCCGGGCTCGAGTCACACCACCATGCCACCAACAACAGCACCACCCACCACCAGCCGGCGCAAACGCGTCTTCTCCTCCGTCCTTCCCCCAGCCTCGCTCGACGACTTCCCTCTGGCCGCGAAGTCTCACACACTCGGACCGAACCCTCCCCTATTCTCCCGCTCCTCCCACCGCTCGCACCATCACCCCGAACCCGATTCCCAGCGCCCCGAGAACCCTACCTTCCGCACCTCCACCACCTCCCAGCAAACCGAGATCGCAACCTCCGACGATGACGACAACGACGAGCTCTGGCCCGAGCAGGCGATCTGGGACCGCGCCTGGCGCGTCGCGACGAAGTTCCTCGCGGTCCCCAACCAAGGCTTCCCGACACTCCTCCGATGCGACCAGATGGACCAGTCCCACTTCATGCGGCTGTGGAACCGCCACCGCACGGCGGACCAGGAGACCCTGGAAGCGTTCGCGTGCTTACTCGAGCCGTTTCTCGGGCACAGGAGGGTGCGACACAACGGGGACGCGCTGCAGAAGAGCATCCTGGATTGGTACGGGTTTGAGATCCGAAGGCACTTTTTAAGGAACGTGAGAAGTGGGTTGGTTGAGGTTAGTGTGTTGGGTCGGCGGGAACCAGGGTCAGGGTAGATGTGCTTTATTTGCTGACTCTTTTACCGGTGCAGATGCTCAAAGGACCGGAGAAGGAGGGTCTCTTGCAGAGGATTGTGGTGTGTCTGCAAGTCATTCGGGGGATCTACTTCGAGCCGCTGGCGGAGATCCTGACCGCGCTGTATCGGGGTGAGCAGGAGGGTGTGTATGGCAAACTGTGTCGCTCATTTCACATGATGGTGGCTTATGCACTGCCGTGGACGCAGGCGTCTGCGTTGCTGAGTCGCGAAGTCATGAAGGAGTCGCTGGTCATTCTGGGGATCGATGCCCTGCGGGAGAGGGCTGCTGCGGACGGGCTTGACCATGTGGATGACATGGATGTGGATCGGCAGTGCTCCATGTCCTACCAGGATTGGCGCGATGAGCCCTCGCCCTCCGCCAGGATGCAGATGTTGACGGAACAAGACTCTCAGGTCGGAGCTGCGCGAGAGCGGCTGCTGCTGCTCTTCAATGGGCTGCAGCTCGTGGGAATGGGCGGCGACAAGGCACAGAAGGTTTTCGCGAGCGTTATGGATGCTCTGATGACCGAGTTTGTTCGAACAGCGTATACGGGCCAGTGGGAGGGCCCGTCGCTGGCTTCGCAGCACTTGCGGCAGTGGATTGAGAACGTCTTTGCGCAGCTCGTTGTCCAGGTCCTGTCAATCATCAATGTGCCTGAATCTGGCGAAAAGGAGGTTGACAATCTTGACGTGACGCTGGGCGATGTGGAGAAGTGGCAAGAGATTGGCATTGCCCGTCTAGGAGCGTTACGGACGAGCGAGCTCTTTGATGTGATCGTGGAGTGGCCTGCAAGCAGCGGTGCGATCGAGGATCTCCGGCACTTTACAACCTATCCAGCCGCGCGATATCATCTGACACAGTCCTTCATTACAGCCTTGAATCTCAGACTGCTGCATCCGGGAGCATCCACTATCGAGATTCTCCAGGTCTACATTTCTATCATCCGCGCCTTTAATCTACTTGACCCCAAGGGCGTTCTTCTCGATCGGATTGCCCGCCCCATCCGTCGATACCTCCGTGACCGAGACGATACCATCAAAGTGATTGTTGGCGGGTTACTGGCCGATCCTGCCGATGCGGACGGCCAGACCGCATCCCTCCACCACCCCGACACGCTGGTTGAACTATCCGCCGAGCTCACCAAGGCGCATCAGAACTCCCTCCGAGCCGACAGCGGCGAACTCGACTGGGATGACATGAACTGGATGCCGGACCCGGTGGACGCCGCGCCGGACTACCGGAAATCCAAGACCTCCGACGTGATTGGCAGTCTGATCAGCCTCTTCGACTCGAAGGAGATGTTCGTCAAGGAGATGCAGAACATGCTCGGCGAGCGCCTCCTCCAGAAGCGTGCCGACTTCGATCAGGAGATGTCTGTGCTGGAACTACTCAAGGTCCGCTTTGGTGACAACGCGCTGCAGGCGTGCGAGGTCATGCTCCGCGATATCTTCGACTCGCGCCGCGTGGACGGCGTCATCCGCAATGACCAAGGCTTAGCGAAGAGCCCGCAGCAACCCGAGAACCCCGACCTCCACGCCAAGATCCTGTCGCATTTCTTCTGGCCCGACCTCCCTGGGCCGGAGTTCCGCGTTCCAGAGCCCATCGCCTCCCTCCAGCAGCGCTACGCGCAGGGCTTCGGCTCCCTCAAACAATCCCGCAAGCTCACCTGGCTCAACGGCCTCGGCCAAGTCACCGTGGAACTCGACCTGGAAGACCGCGTCTTCGTCGACGACGTCACCACATGGCAAGCCACGGTCATCTATGCGTTCAACTCATCCTCCGCGGAAACCACGACCAAAACCATCACCGGCCTCGCCCACCAACTCCAAATGCCCGCCACCCTCGTCCGCTCCGCCTGCCTCTTCTGGGTGAGCAAACGCATCCTCCACGAACATCCGCGCGACACCTTCCGCGTGCTGGAAGTCCTGCCCTCCTCCTCTGGTGAGCATGACGGCGGCCCACCAGCCGCTCAATCCACCGCGACCTCCCCTAAAACCAACACCGCTCCGACGACGCCGACCACGCACCACCCCCGCCGCCCATCCAACTTGAGCACATCCCCGGTCTTCGAGGACGCGGCCGAGGCGGCAGCGGCAGCGGCGGCCGCCGCCGCCAAAGAATCGGCCGAAGCAGCCGCGATGGAGAAGATGAACCTGTACTGGCAGTTCATCGTGGGGATGCTGACGAACCAGGGCGCCATGCCGCTGCAGCGGATCGTGATGATGCTGAAGATCGCGGTCCCTGGGGGGTTCCCGTTCAGCAACGAGGAGCTCCGGGAGTTTCTGGCGGGGATGGTGGCCAAGGGCAACTTGGAGATTGTGAGTGGGGGGAATTATAAGATCAAGGCGCAGTAGGTGGGCAAGCCATGGCATGGCTATGTTCTATCCGTTTGTCTGGAGAACTCGCAGTTTCCCTTTCCCGGCCAGCATCGCATCAGCATCAAGAGGAGGCGAGAGGAATGTACATGTACGAATTATGACTACAACCTAATACACACACACGATGACCAAACCCCATATCCATCTTACCTTAGACAAACAAAAACAAATGGTATTTTCATTCCCAACAAACAGAGAAACCCGGCTAAGCTAAATCTTACAACCAAATCAACCACGGAACGAATCTACTCCGCATCCAAAGGCGCCACGGGCGGCTGATCATCGACCTGAATGCCCCCGCGCTTCTTCTCATTACTGTCCCAGAACGGCAACCGCCATCCGCCCTCACTCTCCGGCGTCGCCAACCACAACCGCATCAGATGCCGCCGCGGCGTGGGCGGCGCGTGGTCCACGTACGCCGTGCGCGCATGCAGCACGTGCGAGTTCGCCAGGAACTGGATGTCGCCCACCTCGAGGATCATGTGCAACGCCAGCCGGTTGCAGGTGGCCTCCAGCACCTCGAGGGCCTCGGTCTGGGCCGCGCTGAGCGCGGGGATCAGCCCCGTGGACGAGAAGCGCGTCAGCGAGCGGACGTAGTACGGGTCCCATCTTTGGGCAGTTAGCTTGCGTTGTAGGGTCTGGGATGGGGATGTGTTGGGGATAGGGTAGGGTAAAGGTAAGGTAGGGCAAGGTAAGACGAACTTGGTATACACCCTCGGCTCGGCACCAGCACTCTCCCGCTCCAGATACACCACACTGGTGCGGATCCACTCCTCCTCGCCCTGGCTGGTCTCGCCCTTCCGGTCGAAGTACCAGATCGGCTCCGTCAGCGTCTTCAGCACATCCGGCCGCTCCGTGGCGAGCGTGTTGTACACGTGGTGCGAGGAGACGAGGTCGGATTCGCCGCCCTCGCGCGCGCGGTGGATGCACAGCAGCCCCACGATGTCCGAGTCGTCGGCGTGGAAGAATTGTCTGCTCCGTTTTCGTTGGCCCGGGTTAGTCTTTTTTTTTTTATTTTTTTTTTTCCGTTGGAGGGCGGGGTGGGGTGGGGATTCCAGATCAAAGGGAAGGGAAAGGGCAGGGCAGGGCAAGGGCTCACCGCGCATTCGTGCGATAGATGCGCACCGAGTCGATCTGCGTGGGATCCTCGCCGAGGTCCTTGACGTGCCCCAGGACGTGGCCGCGGCTGTTCTGCGAGACAAAATACCCCAGGTACGTGCCTAGGCCCATGTACGCGACCGCCGACTTGTGGTTGCCCCAGGCGTGCACGGGGAGGCCTTTGAAGAGGATGAAGCCTTTGCCGTTGAGCAGGTCTTCGCGCAGGGTGTGTAGCCGGGTGGAGAGGGTGGGGAGGGGGAAGTTGGTCTTTTTGTGGGGTGGTTAGTTTTTGTTGTTGAGAGGTGATGGTTGTGGTGGTGGTACTGGAGGCTGCGCACCTTGCTGATTCCCGTCAACGGGATCTTATTCGCCAGGAAGGCGTCCGCCGCCGTCGAGAGCTCCTCGACCTCTTCCGCGGTGAATCGATGGGTCCATTTCTCCGGGTGCTCGCGGTAGTCCTCGGGCTTCCAGACGGTCGGGCCGGTGATTTGCTGGGGGAAGCGGTCGAAGGGGTGGATGTGTTCGTAGAGCGGGGGGTGTTGGCCGGTGGTTTTGAGGCCGTCCGGGAAGATGTCGAGGGGGATCGTGGTCGGGGGGTGTTGGGTGAGAGCCATTGTGAGGGACTGCTCGTGGTCTTGTGTCCGTGGAGAGTGAGTGACTATAGAGGTCTGTTGGGATTTCTATGCTGCAGTAGAGGATCAGAAACGCAGCTTGGATGAGCGAGGGGGAGGGGTTATATACTTGCCATGCAACCCCGCTACCTCCCCCTCTACCCCTCGGCGCATCGGCGCATCGGTCCAGCCATGGTTCCAGAATTCGTTCCTGCACGCGATGATCATTGACTCTTCCCCTGCACTTGCAAAGAGTGGAGAGGATGGCGTGCCTGGATGCATAATGCCTGAGTGAGCCAGTTCTGCTGCTGTTGGCGGGCGATCACGAAAGCCGTGGTCCGATGGCGCAATCTCCCGTGCTGATGGGGGGTTGTTCCTTTGTGAGCGTCCAGCGTTTGAGACCATAGCATTATCGCGTCTCGGGCGAGAAATGCATCGGCCGGACTATCAGCAGGGGTGTATTTGCTGCGATGATGATTCTAGAAGTGTTGTTCGATGGGAGGGGGGATAGATTCAGGATTGCCTATTTAGGAAGGTCATAGTCGTTGGTGAAGGGTCACGTGCACACTCTCACTACACTTCCAACCAACCCGACCCATCGAGATGAACTGTATGTAAAGAGCTGAATCGCATATTGATTGTGACGAGTTGTTATCACGTCTATCTAGCACCAGTGTTCCAATTCAGTCGTGTCTTGAATATGTGGAATCAATCATCCGCCCATAATTCGTGCCGCCAAAACACAACCTAACAGCCCTTGTTCAGGTACTAAGCACTCTGGGAAAGCCAGGCTTCTGTCTTCAACCTCTTCTACCAAGCCGTCTTTGTCAGTCTTTTGGCTCGGGGTGATTTCCTGCATCGCGGGTAAGAAGAGCAAAAGCAAATTGATATCCCGAAGCCAGGCCTTCAGGATGCGGCATCGCTTTATCCACCCCATGATGTCTTGAGTTCCGGAGAACAATGGCTCGATGTCCTCTGGTCTGGCCAGGCAGTAGTAGCCACGCATAACGTTTCCACCCGAGACTGCTATATGGCGGGCAGCTGTAGGGTTAGCATATGCTACGGATATGCGTTACAGAGACTTCCACAAGGTGTGATACAGAACTGACAAGGACACCTTCATTAGGCGGAGCTAGGTATATCGTCAGCATATGCAGCGCATGTGTGCTGGCTATACACATACCGCTGTTATCCTGCGCAGAGACACGAGACGCGCGTGAAGTGAGGCTGTCATCCCGAGTTGTTGTTTGGGATCGGCCCTGCATATGCTTAGCAAGGAAATGGATAGGCAGGGTATATACCAACCATGGAAGTAGCCCAACTCGGGATGTGGGTTGACGGCGTTTAGGACCTCTGAATTATTGACGTCCTCCTCAATCCACAGATGAGCGGTGGCGGACATAGTAAGGGTATATGCAAGGTATGAGCACGGTGTGGGCAAGGTGTAGATAGGGAACGTATGCAAAATGAAGGCCAACAGGGTGATAATTGATTCAAATAATCTAAAAAAAATAAGATTGGCAAATGTTGGACATGTACTAAGAGAATGACGATGTCAACGGAAAGGATCATTGTATATGCAAGAGACATGTAGGGGAACAGTGATGGAGGAGACAGAATAACATCGGGCTGGCATATGCTAAAGTAGAAGAAGGATAGAGAGAGGAAAACAGGGTTCTTGGATTTGGGGCGTGGGATGTGCAATGCGCATTGACTGTATAAACCGGTGGTGGAAAAAATCAAATAATCACCTACAATGTAACATTTGCTTACTATGCTAGAGTATTTTTCCACATGGGCATGGCCTATCCACATACTGTCTTTCGTTAGCTCATTGCTTTTAGTGTCTCGTTGTGCAAGCCACTGTGGATGATTTTGATAATAGAATTCGGAAGAAGCATTTCCTTTCGAGTCGGTTTCGTACGACCGAACATTGTACGAATCACTGGGAGAACTGCCTGTTCAATCTTGCCAATCACACGGAAGAGACTTTTTCCAATTTATTTACAGCCTATATCTGCCTGTCGATGTGCTGCCGTTCGTCACATTGTCTTCTGGGGTCTGGCGTACAAGAGTCCAGGTATATTTAAAAATACCCTCAGGCCGATATCTAAATATGGTCTGCCAAGCTTCAATATCATCTGATCTTAGATCAAGCACTCGATAGACATACTTCTTATTGGATTCATTGGACGACGTGCGGGAAGCTCATCGGTGTCCAGTGGATCCCTATCTACCCCATCTTCCTCCTCAATGTCTTCCCATTCATTGTATGGCAGAGTTCAAGATAAGCGCACCATTTCATGATCTTTGCTCATTTTTCTCGCGTCAGAATAGCATAACTGAGGTCTATTCGCTTCACGCGAGCCTCTTCGTATCGGAGAGACGGATATTCTCCCATGCCCGTGTCGACGATAAACAGGAAAAAAAAAGTTCTCATGCGCGTAAAGATGAAGGTTTCGCCGGCAGGAACACGGAAATGACGTAGACTTCCTTGCCTATCGAAATCAGCGGGGTAGTAGAGGTTTCTGTCTGTTGTTGATAATTCGTGAATGGGTAGAAGAACCCAAGCGTCACTGATAGATTTCAGTACATATTGTTCTTCTGCCCTGACTTCCATCCGCTCGAGCACGCAATGCTGTAGAACCAATGTACCTTCTGTGAGTGCACAGTGTGTGCCGGGACCCCCGCCGTCAGCGGGCTGGTTTCCCTATCATAGAGGATCTTGTGCCATTCAAGATAAATGTACAGCCTCAGACGAGATATTGTCAATGAGGGTGCGTGCCGCCTCGCCGGGGGCGTCTGGACCGTATAGATCATCTATTTGTCGATTTGAACTGGTCAGTTATTATGTAGCGATATCTTCATAACAGCGCGGCCTAGGACAAACGTATTGTTAAGGGAACTGATACTGTGGCGTTGAGCGCCTAGGATTCAGATTTAGTTCGTGTATATAGCTTCCGTACCGCAATGCATATACCGCCCCTTGTATTGGGGCCGAAAGAGCATACTATCAAGTCTGAAGACGAATATTCACCCGAGCAGAACTTGGTTTGCTCCAAGCGGGCTGTCCGTATCAAAATCGCCAGGGTAGGTAGGGCTCGGTCACGTGCAGTCCCAAGCTTAACAGCCAGATACCTTAGTCATGAGACTTCGTTCTCAAGTTGGCCAGTCGATTCTAGACGGTTGGTTCCAAGTAGTGCCTCGAGACCCTTCAAGTGGAAGGGATAAGTAAGATGTCTGCGAGTTTGTCGTTCTTGCGGTCTGTAGGCTATACAGCTGGCAGTGCATGTTGACGTGCCACATATTGGCAGACTGGGTATTGCCAGAGATCATGCGCAGCGTAATACAACAATGTGTTGACATGCATCATATGTGAGCTTCACTTAAACATCCGCGGTGTCAAATTCTGCGGGTTATCTGTTCAAATCTTCAACTCAAAGGTAATTGATATCGTGATGCGAAAGGCGTGAAAAAGGCGCAACGCCGATGTCTCTAGGCCCCATATGGAGTTTGAGCATCGTAATATGACATTTTATAGCTAAAATTTCATCCAGCGATTAGTTGTCGACGATAGTGGGAATGAACGTTTCAAGATACCCTTCGAGCACGCGACTGGGGACAAGTGACGCCATGCCTACTCATCAAAAGAGACAGAGCCAGGTTTTCCCAATTGCCGGCATTTTCGTACACACCACATGTCGCCTCAAGCTTGATGTTTCGATGCGGGCTGGCCTTTGGCCTTAGTGATAATATCTTTACGTGTGCATGCCGATTTTCCAAATGACACAAGAGAAGCGACAGAAAAAGTTGGAAGAGTGATTCATCAAGCTAGAATAATCAAACTATCAGCCGCCGGAGCCGGGAAACTAGGGGAAAGGTCATAAAGAGAAGGCATACCAATGATTATTGTGAGCACACCCAACCAATTAGGCTTTAGATGAATGAAACCGTTGTGCTTTTAATCATGAGGCAATCCAGAAGTCCCCGGAGGCGTTCTCGCACAACTCCCCATATGTGTTGATTATTGCCTGAATATCGATATCATTCAGGTGTAGATTCTCTCCCGACTACGCAGCAGCTCCAAATCCCCAGCACACAGCCACAGCTTGGAGTGTATTCTTGCAAGTGTCGGACGCAACACAGTACAACCCCACATGAGACTGGTTGGTATACGATAGCTGTAGCAGGAATAAGTCACCAACAGCACTCCAAGTGGAGATAATTGAGGAGAGCGTGAAGAGAGATGGACTCCAGCTATCTGAGCATCTATCTAAACTGCCGGCCGGATGGCGGTGAGCTGCCCAGCCAATGGGAGGCCAGGCCCTCCACAATAATGACCACATCTCCAATGTTCGAGTCAAGCATCGACTGCGCAAGGACCGGCTGGCTAACGAGAACAAGCGCAGAACGGGGGACAGGCGATACTCACGGGCGTGCGCCCGAGAGCTGCAAACTGACTCTCGATGTAACTGCATCCAAAAAGTCGCAGTCGAACGTGGTCGCTACTAGAGTATTACTAGTAGTAACCGAGCGACGGAGTCGTTCCAGATGAGTAAATCAATCGCCAAATACGGAGCGCATTTGCTGGAAGTGGGTCTGGCCCTCCTGGAAACCACTGGTTACAGCGAATGTATACTATTGAAGATCGTAGTGAAGCCTGCAAAGCAGATTATTTGAAGGAAATAGAATACACTGTATCCGTTCCGTTGGGTCTGCTTTGATCTGTCTTGTAGCTCATCTTCGGTGATGTCCGGCAACTCAAAGAGGATAGGATATTCGCTCGCCAAAGCTGCAAGATGTCCTCCGCAGCTGTGCGGTGGAATGCCGAGCGGGAGGGGACAGGTGAATCACGGTCCGATGACGATCCAAATATGTGCACGGTCACTCGCCTTGAAAACTCGGAATAGGGATACGGGAGGTCGCCTCATTGGTGTTCAATTTGTGTAGTATTATCTCAGGCTTAATCCGAGCGAGCGGGCAGTCCGGCCGCAACCTCGCCGGTCGACTACGAAGAGTCGAAGGAGGGAGGGTTGCGGCACAGCGGCGAGAACAGGCATCTCAACGCTCCTCGAGACGCTAACACCTAAGAGCTCCAAGAGCAGCATAGACCGTTTGCTCTTGAGCAACCGTTCTGCCGCACAGGATGTACCATCCCTGAGATTGGGGATGAAACAAGCACCCGTGCATGCGAAACACGAACGCTGGACCGAACAGAATACATTCTGAACGAATACGTTCTTCTGTGTCGAAATATCCTGGGTATGTGGGGGTAAAACAGGCTCGCTGTCAAGCGGAGGGCTCATAACCTGATGAGAGCGTGAAGATGGATGGTATCAGCTATCTGGCGAACTATCTAACAGCATGGCGGCCGCGGTGAGATGCCTGACCCATGGGAGGCCAGGACCTCCACAGTTTGAGCACTCTAGCCCTGCTTTCGCAGAGCTCTCCAGCATTCGTAGTAGTCGCACTATGAAGTCAAATACTGGCTGCTGAGACATCTAGCCAGGAGATGATACTGGATTGAGGTTTGTCTGCACTATAATTAGGGCCTATTGGTTGCGGTATTGATGTTCTTCATCCGCCAGTGCGGATATTAATATCACGAGCATCGAAAACGTTTCATTGGCAGGGGCCATGATATGTTGTGAGAACGTGCAGCAGAAGCAGCTCTGGATGGTGTCTTCAATCCTGTCGAATACAGATTCCCCCTTGCGTAATACATGCATTGTCTTCGTCTTAGATCGCTGCCACTTTTATCGGAACTTATATTTTCAGCTGTCCTACTTCAGTGAAAAGTAGACGTAGATTTGTCTTGCATGGCGAATGCGTCGATGGAGTCATTCTTGGCAATTGGCCTTATGAGGACGAGTCAGTTTGTTGAGAATGTGAAGCATGGGTACTCTATCACGCCGGGTTTCTGCGAAACTCATTGTTCAAAATGTTTTCACGGCACCCATTGAATTGCTCCGCTCGATATGACCCAGTCTGCCTCTGTGATGTGTCCCTCTATCGGTAAGCCATAGACCTCCCATGCTCGCCTCCCCCTCATACTAGCCATGTATCGAGTTAGTGGCTCCGCAACAACCTGCATCTTGCCATCAAAAAGTTCACCTCGACCTTTTACACTAATGAGTGCTTTGATCGAGTCTTGCGACTCAACCCTGGCCATTATAGCAGAGTCCAGCCGTCCCGTCCACGTCTTCAAACTCTTCGATTCCAGGTATTTGACACGATGAGCTTCAGACTTCGTGTTAACAGACACGCGCTCCAGCGCGCCGAACCAGAGCCGGACATGTCTGATTGATCTTGAAGCCTGGTATGTGGGTGGATAGGATGGTGGTACGTCGGGTCTTTCCTCTGCCAGTGTTTTTGCCAGACTTCGTGTGCCAAGAAGACAAG